ACTGCGATGTTTAGGCTTCGTACGGTGGTCGGCCTTATGTTCGAAGTGCTTGCCTTTCTTCCGTACCGGGTGGTTTGCTGCAAGGAATCGACGATGACCCATGTATACAACCTTCCTACAGTGGTTAAGATACGTACTTTCTGTTTCATCCATACAGTGAGTGCAAGCCTTGTACCCCTTGTTGGACTGTCCGGATAGGTTGCTAAGTGCAGGCCAATCGTTGATGGTTACGAATAGCAGCGCTCGTAGGTTAAACTCCTCCTGTTTGTCCTCGTCCCACACGGGGACACCTTCCTTCTTCCACAACTGTTTAAGATCTTCGACCAGTGGTCTTAGGTACACGTCGATGTCGTTACCAGGTTGCTTGGGGCCTTGAATAATAATCGGCATCATTATGTACTTCCTCTTCATGCATAGCCAGGGGGGAGGTTGTAGATACACATCGTAACGGGCCAAGTGCTATGGCCGCTGCTCATCTCTCCAAAAGGATTCATGCCATCCGTACTCAAACCAAACCGTATGTTTCGTGCGTCCTTTCCAAATTCTTTAAATTTTCTGTCGATGTTTCGCCACTGCGAACCATCGGCGGGGTGTCTCAGCATCCCGTCCTGTTGACGCTCTTCAGCGTGCCATCGCAACATTCTAGCATTCCCCTTGTTCCTGAACAAACGCCTTAACCGTGGTATTATAGGGAAATACCACATCACCTTAGCAGGAATTCTCTTCTTTGTTAGCTGCCCGTCAACTTCTCCTGGATCGTCCCGTCTAATCTTGTATCGTAGTGCTTTGCAAACAGGGCATGCTTCTAGGTTCTCATACTCCTCACCGCGATATAGGATACAATCGTTCGGACATGCGTGAATCTTATGAACTTCCAGTCCTAACGGGCAGACTATCTTCTTAGCCTCGTACGTTGTCTCGGGCAATTTGTTTCCCCCCGGAAGAATGTTCTTGACGAGTTTCAATAAATCGCCAAATGCCTTGTCACTAACCCCATTTTTTGCCTTCCATTGCAACAACTCCAGAGTGGTATCCAACTTTTTGTGCCCCTGCTCGCAACCTGGGTACAACGAAGTTCTGTGGTCCTCCAACATCTTGTCCAATTTATGGGCCTCCTTTTCACTTTCGCAGTCTTCCCTGGCGTCCTGCAACATCTGACCAAGATCATCCGCAACGTCGTTACCATCAGCAGCTATTTCCTCCTCGCCCGTTTGATTTCCTTCAAATCCAACATACTGAGCAAAGTCCGGAATATTGTCGTCTTCCACTTCATCTTCTTCCATTTCAACACCTTGCTCTCCGTGGGATGTCCAACAATTATAGCTTGGCATGAACCCCGACTCAAACAAGTGGAAATGAATAGTCCTGGATGCAGAATACTCCTTCTGATTCTTACACTTATTGCATGGACAACAAATAAAACCCCTTTGCCTGTTAGCTTCGGCCACTCTCAAAAAATAGTGCACGCCGTCAATAAACTCTTTGGACCACCGGTCAGCGTACATCCATTGCTGATCCATCTACATGAGTCAAAAAAAACCGTACACAAATAATTATTCTTACAATAATGACAGTCATACAATAATTATAAGATATCTTTATTCATACAAAAATCATAAAATATTACACCAAATAATTTTTAAAAACTATTTGTAAAGTTTTAAACTAATTTTAATGTGTTTTACTTCTTTTAATTTTCATTTTAGTTTGTTTTCTATTATTTAAGATTAACTTTCACTAGAGTTTTCCTTCTCAACTATTTTATAAAACCTTGTTTAGCAAATGAACTAAATTTCTATATATTCTTTCTTCCCCACACACATTTTCTCTCTCATCAACTTACAACTAAATTTTGGAGACAAAAAAAGTGTGTAAAACATAGGTGCAAATGTAGTATGATAAAAAAAAACATTGGAGGATGAAGTTGCAAACCTTTTAGGCACCTCCGATTTGTATGTAATCACCAAAATAAATTCAATAGAAATTTTGGCATGACCTCCCCTCTTTTTTGAAGAAATTTTGAAGCTTGCTCGGGCAGCTGGAGGAGGAAGAAGACATATATATAGGGGTGGGACTTTAGTCCCGGTTGGTAGTACCAACCGGGGCTAAAGATCACCGGGATCCGGTTGGTATTACCAACCAGGACTAAAGTTAAGATCTTTAGTCCCGGTTGGTGTTACCAACCGGGACTAAAGATCCCGGGGGGGCCTGACAGGCCCTGACAGCATTCGAACCGGGACTAAAGATGATCTTTAGTCCCGGTTGGTAACACAAACCGGGACTAAAGATCAAATATGCCCGTTACCCTTTTGAACCGGGACTAAAGATATTGCATCCGGGACTATTGTGGAAATCGGCCGACCGACGAAAGATGGTTTCTCCACCAGTATACATATACTTTAGTAAAATAAGTTGAATTTGCTACAAGAGCGTTATTTTCAAAGAACCCCCTAATGTGATTTTAGCTTTCAATGTAACCGGTATCTTATAATAATGTAGTGAAACATGTATTTTTGAAGAAAAAGACATAATATTTCTCCTTTTCTAATGCTATTTTTTCTCATCCTTTTATTTTCTGTTAGTGACCAAATTAATAAACCTGTGAAGGAGTAAGATGGCAAATACATACAGATATTTAGTAGATAATCATATCATCGAGCTAGTTGGGTATTGGAGAAGACACGAATATTAGGGAATGATCTAACATCAAATAATTAGAAAGGGTGATGCTTCGAATCCAGGTCGTCTAGCCCACCACCCTGTGGAGCTAGCCGGAAGACCCCTGAGTATTTCTCACTAGTAAGGTATTGGAACGACCGAAGAAGAGTAAGATAGTTATTCATATTTATAAGGCTCGGGTTTTTCTCCGTTTTAGTTCAGATTTAAGAAGGTTCTAGATTTTCCCTTAGTATTTGTTTGATTTATCTCAGCTTTTGTAAGTGCCGCGTACGTGGTTCAGTCATCATTGGGCAAAACTGTCGGTTTGAGAATAATAAGATTGGCCAAGTGCCACCTGCCAAATCACCTGTGAATAACACAGGAGTAAGCAGGAACGAGTTACCAGCTAAACAGAGTATGGAGGATTCAGCCATCAGCACAGCAGGCCAGCAGGGCTTCATGGCAGCATGGGCATATATCACAATGTCAGCATGTGTTAAGCAGCATGGAAGGAAAGAAAGACGGGCATAGGTTGGCTGGACTTGTTCAATTCCCCTGCGTAAAAGAAAGCAATACGAGCACGCATGCGCCACGTCAGCATTGCCAGTATGGCGCTGCTTGATCTGTCTATCACGCCTATCTACAAAGCAACTTTACCTGTGTATAATCTCGTAAGCGCACAATGATAATTCATACGTAATTCATACTCTTATCTTAATTACCTTTCAGCAGATGATATTGAAAATTTGAAATCACTACCAGCGATTACCTTACTAGCAAATTATTAAGCAGATCGAATGCATCCTGATGCTGGCATTTGCCGTGGGAGCAGTATTACTGTCACATTAGCATGCATGTAATCTGTTTTCTTGTCATATCTGTATGTAGCTCCAAGCTCTTGGTAGTAGTAACTCCAATTTGCAAAGCTTCCGGTATCGCGTATGGCGAAGGAGACGTCCCCATCAACGACAAAAAGCTTCATCCAGCGGTCAAAATTGATAGATTCTCTCTTAGGAAGCCGGCTTGCCAGTGCTCGCCACTGCCAGTAGTACTCTGGCGTGTCGACGTGTTCTTCACTCGCGTCAATCTGATCAACGGTAGGCGATCACTTTACAGTGCAAGCAGTAGTATGAATTTTGAGACAAATCGAACAAGAGCAAGCACAGTTGTGTAGTACCAGACAGGATACAACGTCGAACGCAGAACGGAGCAGATAAAATGTGCTTCTCATGATCGGCAAAATCTAGCCATCGAAAGGGCTCATCATACTTGTCTGCCACGCCCAAGATCGGCTCCGCCCAGCCCACCAACTTTATCATCACGGCCTCATTGCGTGTCAGCCTAATCGAGAACGTGAACATTCTCGAGCTCAATTTCAAATTAACCGGCGCCGAATTCCGATCGGTTTTGAACAAAATTGGTCGTGTCAGCGTAGCGTGCATGGGCTGCTTGCTGCATGCTCCTGTCCAGTGTCCACCACGCTCGACGACATACGTCATGGGCACGTAACACGCTGGCATGCACAAGCTCGTCTCGATCGCTTTTCTTTTTTGCCTTGGAAAAAGAAACCTTAATTTGCTCCATTCCATTCTCCTACAAGCAAAGTGATAGTGGTGGGAATATGGGGAAATGGAATGTATCGATCAACGTCGGATTAATCGACGGCGCACCGGCGAAGGAAAAGGCAGCCACAGCCACAGCCTACGCGAGGATTGGGGAAGCGCCAAGTATAATACGCGCAATCATTGGGTACTCAACCCGCGACCCCGACACGCTGCCGCCCCGCCGCGCGACACGCCAGCGGCGCGTGCGGCGTCCAGGGCCCCGCGCGCGCGCGCACGCGCACGCGCCCGAGCGCGATGGCTGGTGGCTAGCGGCCGGGCCGGGCCGGCGCGGCGGCTTCTGCCTTCTTCTCTTCGGTACGTGGACGTGGCTGGTGGCCAGCCGGTGCGTGCAGGCGTGCGGCGCCACAGCGAGCGATCACCACCGTTTTTCGCTGGCCGGTGGGTGGTCACCCCCCACCGCACGCCGCGCCGAACGCGCCACGCGCGTTTCGTCGGAAAAACGGCGGCACGCGCGCCGCGCGCGGCTGGCTGGCCACCTCCTCACTCGCGTCGCGTGGCCACGAGCCGTTCGGGGATGATATGCTTGCACGGGCCGAGTGAGTTTGCCCAACGGATACGATGCGGCTTGGGCCAAAGTCCGGATGGGCCTGAAGCGGCGGGAGCCGGGAGAGGTAGTGGTGGGGTGCGAGGGATTAGTACCACCTCGGGGAGTTGTTGCGGATGACGAGGTGAGAGCTGCTATAAAGAGGGAGTGCTATGGAATAGGTGAAATCACGCAGCTGCGTGGTGAGCACAAAGCGAACTATTCTTTCGCCTTTTACTAAAGAATACCGTGTGCGCTCCACATATAGCAGCATACGCTATTTTTTTGAGGTGTCCCTCCTTTCTGGAAGGGCGCCAACAATTCAAACTTAAATCTTTTTCTTTTCCTGGTTGCAATTTTGCATCTTTTCCTTTTCCTGGTTACAATTTTGCATCCATTTTGCCAATTGGTGAGGTTATCGTATTTGTGCAAGATAATAGGAAATGTGTTGATGAACTCTTGCCTCAAATCTAACATGAATGAAAGGGAATGTGTAACATTATCAGCACAAAATAAATATATTATTAAAAATATATTCGATGTTACGTTTAATCAAACAGAACAGTGGAAATATCTGAGCAGAATAAATAGAATAGTGTGACAGCCTTGTGGCGTATGATAAAAGAACTTGTCAATATCGTCAGTTTTATAATGAATGGAGTGAAATGTCGTCAGTCTTGTGGCATTTGACAAAGACATTGCCTTCACCCAGATGCAAAAAGAAAGGAACAGCAAAGCAGGCTAAGCAATAAGCATTTGATCTCACACTGGAAAGGATTATACATATTCATCGTTTTAGTTGAACAACAAAAGCTTATAGCTCGAACAAGAGGACATATTATCATATAGGTATGGCAAATCTTTCAAGTTCCAGCAATCAGGACGAGCTAATGGTAAGATTTTCCATCTCGTTTGCTACATCATCAGCTATCTCCACTTCTAGAGCTCCCAGGGACTTCTCAAATCTTTCAAGGGCTACAAAGGCACCCTCAGGTGAGCCACCAAGGCTCCTGATTTCCCTCCGCATTGCATTGGCGCCACCATACAATCTTTTCACTGAGGATTTCATCTCAGATAAGTCTTGTGGTGGGTACACAGACGCCCCGAGGTCGTTAATCTGGTCAGCAGCCTGTCTGCAACAGCTCAACAATTGTTCCATTGTCTCAACTTTTTCCTCATTAGCTCCACTTCGGTTACCTGAGATCTTAAGCAAACAAGTAATGAAACGAATTGTTTCTTTCACCACAACAAGCGCATCGGAAGCCACAGTGACAACCAATTTGGCAACAGCAACCTCCTCTTCAGTGAAGTCCTCATCTAACTCAAGGTCACTTGACGATCCATCTCTATCAGAACAACTTGTGGTGTCCACAGCTCCATTAGAAGATTTTTCAGCAGTGCCATTAGAATCACCAATTGGTAGTTCTTTCATCTCTCGGAGAATATCCTTCAGATACACACCTATCTGAGTCATGGCTCGTCCTATGGCAACACAGTTGGTTGTTGGTACCTTGTTGAGAGCAAGACATGCTTCCCATACAGTTCCTGTCACCTGAGGTATAGTTGTTTTCCGGTCAGGACTGCGTGATTCTGCACGTCACAAAAAAGCTGTGAATGCTAGTAACATCCTCTTGCATACTGCATTACTATTCAGGTTTCTTACTGCTTATCCACTTATGCATTACATCGTGACCACCATAAGGAAAATAAAAAGCAGAAAATGGTAAATTTGTCCTTCTCACTTTAGTCGTAAGGAAATTAGATCATCAAATTTAGTTATGAGGGTTGTCCGCATACATTAGTTAATTCTGAATGACTATTTAGTTATCTACTCCTAATAGTTACGAAGACAAAAGGGAGCTTCAGACAAAGGAAGATCCTTGAGAAAGGTTTTTACTTACCATAAGCAGAAACAGCTTGATTGAACAATGAGAAGCTGGAGTCAACAACATTCTTTGCAGAGCTACAGATGGATTTGTGAAGTGTGGGTCCTGCGCCAACTGTGCTGCCGTGGCAACCCAAAAGGAAACCCTGCAGGATGTTGAAATATGCGACGATGTTCTCCTTGAGTGTTTCTACATCAGGCAAATCACCACTCCAGACCATTCCAGCTGTATTGAAAAACAGACATCAGCGAACAGTGACAAAGCTAAGGTTACATCATCACAGAAACGGTATCAGTATATCGCGACACCACATTGGTTGGATATTGCATTTGCTACCCTAACCACTAGAAAGAAACAAATGGCCAATGCAAATAACATTTCCCTGCTATATGATGATATACAGCAGCTGAACTATAACCTAATGCTGCTACATTAATTCCTTGCCAAGCTTAATTGGGCGGAATAATAAACTAACACCTTGATTTCCCCAACAGTTTTTTCTATCCAAGCGATTCTTTCCGCTGAAATTAAACAATCTAAACCTACCGACGCTAAATTAAGTAGGTGTATAGTCCGATCAACTGAGCGCACGAAACGTGGGGAGAGAAATCGTTCGTTCTTAGACCTACCAACAGTGGCCTGCCTGGAGACTTGCTCGCCGAGCTTGACGACCTCAGACCACTCCGTCCGCTCCAAGCCGCCGGGAGCCGCCTCCGCCATCATCTGAGAACCCAAAGTAAATAAGCACGCCGCCGCGCCGTGAGTTACCGTGGGATTGGAGGCTTAGAGCCGTGCTATGACCCCATCGGGATAGAGAGACTCGGGTGCCAAACCTGGAAGGTGTCGTTGATGGTCTGGAGGTGCGACTGCAGGAAGCGGGACAGCTCGCCGCCGCCCGCCGGCTTCTTCGCCGCTCCACCTCTCCTCGGCATGGCAGGCAGCTACCGCCTCGTCGCGTCGCGCCGGCGAAGAAGAGAGGGAGAGGAAGAGGGATGCGAGCCGCGGCGAGGCGGCGGCGGCGGCGGCGGGGGCGGAAGGGTTTATTTCGTTAGGGCTTTTGGGGGAAGTTGGGCTTGGCCGGTTGGCCCTCCTGACATTGCGTCGATGTGGGCCGTTCGATTGAAGTTAAGATTCGTGCTGGAATACGACCGTGATTCCCCGTCACAGCTGGACTAGCCACTTAGTCGCACGTTGCGCGACATTAAATACCCGTATGAAAACCTTGTATACATGAGTCAAAATATATGGTATGAAATTCTACTTTAAATTTGAAAATTGACAATACCATAGAACTTAATAAATAATTGTTAGAACCACCGCTGCATAGGTTGGAAGTATCTCTCTCGCCTATCTTAAGTAATAATCGCAAGTACTGTTATCAGTACGAAATTGGAAACAATACCTATAAATCATCTCTGCTTGGTGATGAGAGGAACTGACTCATATACTGACAGAGAGTAGTAAAATCTAACAAAGTGATGTACAAAATATTTCTGACTTCAAAAGTGTATGAACCTAAGTTATCCTACCATGTGCACTTCGCAGAGTTAACAAAAATGAATTAGGTTGGGTTTGGAGTATGATAAAAGAGTAAACAAATCCGATGTATATCCATACGGATTTCTGTATTTGCAGCTCTTCAATTCAATCTAGCTTTCAGCAGCAAAATGAAATATGTGAAATATAAAGACCAATTAGAGTCATAGGAGTTATTCTAAAAGAAAATTTACCAATATTTCTAAAACCGAATATGAGCATCAAATGAATCATTGTGATGCTGTACATGCGCATATGGAATCTGACAATGTAGTAAAATAGGTAAATTGGCATTCTGTGAGTTACTTTATCATGTGACAAACAATCATACGTTTTATCAATCGTAGAAAAGGTTGGTGCTTCTTCCTTGAAGATGTATATCAGTTACAGAAAATTTCAGTGCCTTCTCCTTCTAGACCATAATTGATAAGTGTTCATCACTATTCTCTTATTTAAAATGATACTCCAGTATTAATTATTTAGTTAATGAGGGAAGACAATAATGTTAGGACACACCAACAGAAGAGAACAAAAATATAATATAGGTCTTGTTTAGATTCCAACTTTTTCTTTAAACTTCCAACTTTTCCGTCATATCGAACTTTTCTACACACACAAACTTTCAACTTTTCCATCACATCGTTCTAATTTTTACTTTCAATTTTAGCGTTGAACTAAACACAGCCATAAAACCAAAGCACATTAAGTTCAAAAGCTACATACCAAAAGCCATCATCAACTGACGGATGAATGCATCGCTTATTCGCTTCATTGCTTGAGTTAAATTAATCGCAAGTTTAAGCTAGCTAGCTAGCTAGCTGGGGAGTTCCCACGGACTGATCAAATAGCAGACCAATCTCAAGTAAACTTTTCATCGAGCACCTTGTGTGCATCGGCCAAAGCATAGCGAAGATCCTGGCATGCATGCTTGGAGCAATCCTGACATGGCCTCTGCAGAGAGAAGAATAAGGATGTGGTGGCGCACAGCTAGAAGGCCTAAGCATCTATGGGGTCGCCGGAGCATGCTCTACATGGGCCACAGCCGCATCTACACGGACCACTACTACGACCCCATCGAGCTCCATGGGCAGCCGCCGCCACTGCTGTGAGTCTACATGGCACTGACCTCAATGGTTCCATTTGAGTTTCATGGCTTTCGCCGCCGCCACCGCCGCGTGGAACCAGGGCGCCTCTTTGTGATGGCTGGCGACGAGGGGTTAGCGCTGGCCGGATTTGGGATGGGCTGACCGGTGATGCTGTGATCTCTTTATACCTAGTGGTGTGCCGCAATCTGTGAATGGGGAGGAGACGGAGGGGATTGGGAGGAGACGCGGTGGCAGCAACGATGGGAGGAGGCACGGAGAGATGGCACCGGAGACTTGAGGAGGACGCGGCGGCGAGGGGGACGCGCGCTGTCTCCGACTATCCGCCTCTCCGGACGCGAGTAGAACGAAAGGAAATTATTCTTTCCCCAATAGGGCAGGGACGTGGAAGGGCCTATTTTTTAAAAAGCAACTTCTTAAAGGAATCTTGATATTTTATCTATTGAGATCGGACGGTTGCTAACCACGGAACGAAGAATCGGACGGTCCATGTTTTTCTGGTGACGTGGCGCATTGTGGTGGTGAAAAACTTTAGTTTTTTCACTACTTTAGATTCGACCAAGGAAAAGAAACCGATGGAAAAAAGGTAAAACAGGGAAAGATCAGGTAGCACCCCCGCTTTTGTATGTTTTAGATTTTTTATAATGAAATATAAATTCCGGCTTTTACTTGAAAAATATCCAAGCATATTCAAATATTGAATAATATCTATAACATTTTTATTAAAGCTAATATTTAATATATTTTTTTAATATGTTTGTTTTGTGTTAAAAATATTGCTATATTTCTTTATAAATAATGTAGTTAAACTTGTGTTTTAACTTGAAAAAAGTTAAAATAACTTATTGATATGAAACGGAAAGAGTCGATAAAAATCACAGGAGCAAAATCACGTCATGGTAATATTTCACTTATTAATCTGAAATTAGCCATCCCTCTTGCGAGGCAACAATTGGCTATTGTAAAACATAATGTGAAATGTAGCTGAAAATTGCTTTATCCTAGGATTTAAAGTTACATAATTACCCATCACATTTAAGTTACATCATCACCCATCACATATGTACATCCTATCAAGAAGAAGAAACAAGTTTGAAGGGGGTCCAGAGTCGAAAATCTTCCGAAAAATTAATCCATTATAGCCGCTTTCTCTGATATTTCAGGTGATTCCTCCAAGACCATGCAAGCAAGAAAACCACTAGTGCTACCCCCACCGAACTCCAAAAGATGATCAACCAAGTAGGCATGGGATCATGAAACAGCCCTATCCAGATTACAAAAAAGTTAGGCACTCTTAACATTTAATGTTCCAAATATATACTACTCCCTCCGGTTTCATTTTAATTGATGTTTTAGACAATGACACGGTCTACAAAATATACCTTTGATCTTATTTTTCTATTATAATATATACAATAAATAAATACATGTTTACTTTTATTATAGTGTTTTGAAAGACAAATCTATATATGTTGTTCTAGTTTCTTTAAACTAAATATTTTTAAAGTTATTGATGGTCAAAGTTATAAAAGTTTGACCTTAACTTTGTCCAAAACGTTAATTATTATAGAACCGGAGGGAGTAGTATATATCACGAGAAAATCAAGCGACCATAAGGTAATTTTTCAAATCAGATCAATTATTTCACAAGTGATGATGATGTCAGAAGAGAGTAACTCACCATGTCCAAACTTCATACATATAAGAAGCTCTACAATGCATATAGCTAGAGAGAGCCAGCAAAAAGCCCCAACCTTCTTCACCGGTTTGCTGGTGTGACCATGAAAAAATATATATTAGCAAGCCATTAAGTAAAATTGTAAAAAATGTGCAATGCTATTGGGCGTGCAGGGAAATTGGGATAACCTGTTTTGCAAGTAGGAGTTGTACTCACGGATGGTTGGAATAGCAATCAACCACCATAGGATTAATCTGTACACAACCAAAGGATTCCTTGGAGGAATCCAGAGGCAAAATTTAAGAAAAAATGTGTTGAGCTCCACTGTCATGAAAACAACGCACAGGAACAACACTTGAACGAACCGCAACGGCCCCATGAAAGGGTACCATTGATCCTTGTCCCATTGTGCAGGGGTGAACTGGCTCAGTGATCTTTTCACCTGCATATGCAAGTAAAGGAAGGTCGGTAAACTGTAAATGGGTTCAACCTAACTATAGTATGCAGTCTGAAGCAGAATGTAACTGCACAAATGTGCATATAGTCCAATCAGATAAAACACACTGAATGCCAGAATGGTATACAACAAAATAAATTATGAAGTCAGGTATCAATAATGGCAATTGACAGTTTAGAGTTTGGACAGAGCAACAGAAATCAATACAGTCCCACTGGGAAAACCTCACATGTTGTTTGGCGTACTACAGACAAGAAGTCAAAGTGATTTACTTTTGCTCAGCGACTGCATTGTTATAGAATGCTCCCATGGACTTAGCAGTAGCAAGAGGCTCTTGTAAGTCGTAACTCAAGAAAGAATCGATGAGGAAATTCTTACAAAAAGCACAATAGCCCAGGAAAATTCAGCAGGTACAAAAAAAAAATCTAGGCCTAAGGGCCATGATGAATGAAGATTAAAAGAACAGTCCTAAAAAAAGGTACTAACCTATTTGCAAATAAGAAACAATTTGTTTGTTTGGTAACATACCTTGCCCATGATGCTTGGCTGTCGGCTCAGTCCAACCCACTCATATGTTTTACCGTCAAAGTAACGGACTGTGTGCATCCCCGCCCATATACCTGAATAAGAATATTAGCATTTCAGCCAAAATATTTAGATGAAGCTGAACACATAAAACACTCCATAGCCTACTGCTAAGAGTGAGGCTTATATGGCAGATTTGTTCTTCCTCCATTCACATTTACTTGTCACTTTTGACCCTAACGTGCATATGCAGGTACTCTTTCAATAACTGGTTACTGAAATAGAAAGATTGCTTTCAACCCATGAACTGATAGAAGAAGATAAATTATATTACTTCATAAACAGTAAGTGTTTAATGTCAGCAGTATGCATGTGCATCAGGTCTAAGTTTTCTTCTTAAAACTCTCAGATACATCACATCGCTATTCATTTTCTATATTATCATGTTCAGTTGATAAGAGTTAGATCCAAACAAACTGTATAAAATATGCAAACCCAAAAACACTATATTATTTTAATCTGCCTAACTTTGTTTTACTAATAACTTTAGATGTAAAAAATGTATCATCAATGTCACTGAATGTATACAACATGAAAGTCAGCTGTCTCCGATTGTCCTACCAAACCAGTTGCAGATCAAGATATCCAAAATAATACTATCCCACCAGCACTCATTAAAGTTTGGCAACATATGTCTGAATGTAAGCTGCAAAAGGTCATAATAAGCACAATACCTTGTTAGAGATAACAAGTAAAAGATAACAAAAGGTTGAGTAACCATATCTAACCTCCATTAGCTCGAAACCAATCGAGAGGACCCAAAGAAGAAGCTGGTTTCGTATCATTACGGCTTTACCCCACCAACCCAAAATATGGGCAACCACAAATTCGTCAAATAATGTCTCCTATATGTATATCAAACCGTCAAATATGATGGGGTAATAACAATGATAATAACTACAATAATAACAAAAACCAGAGCATGAAATAGGAAGGTTCAAATGAAAAATCATACATAAATATTTATGAACTTGTTTTTAGGGTTTTCCGGAACATACAGACGGCAGTCAGCTCCATAAGATCTCTCCGGCAATTCTGCATTAGTGTACAGAAATGTTTGTCAGCACCATTTCTTCTACAATATTTAATTTCCAGTGTAAATCCTTTCGATGTAAAGATATTACCAACTCCAAGATCAGGGTAAAGGTGTTTCATGAACTGGCGAGCATCATCGCGGTTCTGGAAAACGAGAAAGAAATAAGAATTATTACAGTACAAGATATCCAAGATGTAGCATATCTCTACGTAGTTGAGGCCCCTCGCTCAAGAGTCTTGAAAAAATGCCATTTATACTGAATTTTGATAATCAAATAGTTTGGATACAAGACTTCCAACTTTTTTTTTTGACAAGACAATTTGCATTTGCTTGGATCTCAAGTTTTTTCTTTCACAAATACTTGCCACTTCACGCTCCTGTAAGAACTTCCCAAAATAACCCTATGAATAATAGACATCTCCCGCCATTTTCTAACATTTTACGTGCATGGGATATTATTGAAAGGGCATTTTTTGTCCTACTTTATCGATGTATGAATTTTTCAATAGTAACAACTAACCTGGAAAAGAAGAAAGGCTAGAGCGACAAGGTAAACGACAGCCAGTCCGTGCACCAGGCGCCAGACAGCAGGATGGGGCCTAATAAGTATCCTGTGACAATATTGCCAGAACATTGAATCATCATCATGCAAAAATATTAGAGATGCACAGTAGATTTACAGGTTCTCAAATTGTTATGAACCCAAGGAGATAAAGAAGACAAAAGTAGCAAGTACAAAAACAGCATGAGAATGGCATTGGTATTGGGTCCCTCAAGGTAATTTTTGTGTCACCATTAAAAACAACCTGACGAATAATAAGCCCTACACTTTCAAGAGAATTGGCCACTATATGGTCTCACTCATACAGTAACACGTGGGTCACCTCTTTGAAGCAGAAAACCTTCAATTTCCCTACTTAAAGAAAAATGCCTGACAACGACAGCCACTGCACTAACATAGTTCCAATGTTTGAAATACATATAAGAAGAGGGGGGCTAACTCACGTTGAAGGTGCTTGGAGAGTGCAGTAAGCAAGGAAGACTGCAATCATAGCCCAGACACCCCTGGAGAGTGTCAGTGAGAAAATATGAGTCAGTGTCACTCTCTCCCAATCATTGTGCAGTGGTGAGAGGAGAACAGCTCAAGTCCAAAAGACACAATCAAAGTAGAGAAGTAACCAGAGTTCCCTTAGATGATTGCATCACTTTCCAGTAAAGTAAAAAAAAAAGGTTTTCGGTCATTACCTCTTAATAGATGTCGCACTACTGTGATAAGAAGCACCCTCTGGATCAAGCGCTCCACTTGCCCAACTGAAACGGGAACATGATTGAACATGAAATCAGACAGCACCACGAGAAAGTGAAAAGGAGAACGCCCCAGCAAGTTCACAACCAACCACTCAACAGCCTAGCCTAGCTAATGGTTGTTTCAGACACAAAGTTATATGCTTAATCCTTTCATGAAGCAATAGCAACAATAAAGTTCTTGGTGAGCCGTTTCTACAGTTAAAAAAAAGGGACGAGAGGAATGTACTTCCCATGTAATTTGCACCTGCTAAAAATGATATGGGAAAAAATGATTGTTCTAGGGAAGCTTTCGCACGAGATTCTTGAACATGATTCCGATTCTCCTCAGCCACTCGTACGCTCGGTTGTTTGCTAGCCTTGCTGAACCAGACTGCCATGCTTTCATGTTCGTTCAATCATTCAGAAACCTCAACTTGCTGGCACAAAATCACTAAATTTCCCGACCCAAAAATTTCACCTTTTTCTTTCAGAGAAAGTAAAAAAATCACAATGAGTACTACATGCCCTGCTTTCAACTCTGACACTGTTGATGCACCTGATAGGCAGAAGCCCTGGCATCTGTTGAATTGTACTTTGCCCCAACACAACAAGGCCTTTTTTTCCAGTTCTCCCACCAAGAAATTTACAGCCTTAGCCCTTAAGTCACAGGCAGAGGCAGCAAAGCGAGAAAAAAAAATAAAAACGAATTTGTGAAATTTAATCGTGGAAGAGCACTTACATTAGAAGGCAAGCACCGACGAGGAGCACCGAGATGGTGTGCGGCTTGTAGAGCCACGCCGTCCATGGGTCGTACTCCTCGGCGCCGCCATCCGCCGCCGCTACGAGCCTCCTCTCCTCTCCGTCGCGATGCCTCGTCCTCTGCTTCGCCTCCATGTTCCCACTTCCAGAACCCTCTGCGATATGTGACAGGAGAAAACTGCCGCGGCAGCCAAACAACACGCCAAACCAAGCGAAGCGCCTGCGCGATATAACCACCACGGATTGTCGCGGTCAGGTCAGGAGAGGCGAAAGCAAGAGACGAGACGAGACGAGACGAGACGAGGGGGACAGACAGGACATGCAGAAGAAGAAAGAAGCAGAAGCGAAGGATTACTTCAGAGCCCGAGAGAGGGAGAGAGAGAACGGGTGTGCCCTATCTCCACGCGCACGCGGAAATCTCGGCGTCGGCCGCGATCGGCGCCGCACGCGCGTGCGTGGGGTGGGGAGGAGGAGGAAGTAGGAAGACGACGATGACGACGCGGGTTGGGTACTTGGGTTGGATGAGACGAAGAAGTGGCGGTCTCGTCTTCTTTAAAACCAGGGGAGAGGAGAGTGGATGATGACGACGACGGAGACGAGGGGAGGGGGGGTCGGCGTGCGTGCGGCCTCCACGTAACGCTTCGGCCTTCGGGGGCGCGCGCGCCGCCCAACGCCGCAGCGGCCGCGGCGCCACCGACTCCGCGAGACCGAGAGGAGGCGCAGGCGCCGCGGCGTTGTTGGGCTGGTCCGTCGTGTGGGCGGGTGGCCACCGCACCTGTAACGGGGCTGGCTGGCAGAGGGTCCCGGGCGGGGGTTCCTGGGCTGGCAAAACCCGGGGTACGGTGGATTTCGTCGCCGAGTTCCAACTACCTTTGTTGTATTTTTGCGTCTTGTATCCAAAATCCCATTCATCGCCGTGTCACGTGGCTGGTGACACACGGATGTCTTGGTGTGGTAGCTTCTGCATTATGGCGGCTTATAATTGCTCTGTTTAGCAAAGCTTCATATCCTTTAAATGTTTATATTGAATATAAAAGACCTGTTCGGCTATTATTTTTGTGGCTGCGGCGTAGCCGGCATGAACAGTGCCATCCTCGCTGTGCGCAGCCGCAGCTGTGGCAGCTGGCCTGCCGAACACTCCCAAATGTTTATAAGTTAAATTGATCTTGTTTAAATATGAGCCCTAGTGAGAAGATAAATTTCAGATATCTCATTAAACTCGATGAACTGAACGGTTTGAGGGAGCACTAAAATTGGAAGAAAGAAATTTGTAGAAAATATATTAGAGAACCGAATTAATGCATACAAAAAAATATGTAAACTCCTTGCGTATCTCCGATGGTGCATGTCACGTGAGTTTCATTTACATTTTTTGAAAAAAATTCGCCCAAAATGCACCAAATACTCATATACGGCATGCCGAACAGATTTTTTAGCAAACAGTTGCCGAATTTAAGCAGGTTTCGACCGTATCTCTTTTTTTTTTTGATCATTTTCGACCGTATCTAGCACACCATTTGTTTGTAGAAACGATCCGGTCTAGATACATGGGCAGGGATAAATGACGGCACCAGTCTACCTACACTGCAATTGCCATGGGGTCCTTGTTAAAGAAGAAAAAAAAATAGAGTAAGCGTTAGGTAAAAGCTACTATGACGACGGTGAGCTCAATTTGTTCGATTCCGCTTGTTCGTTTTCTCGGTTAGCCGCGGGTAGTCGTAGTACTAGCAGATAAGGAGAGGAGGACACGGTGGTGGCGACAACCGCGGCGCTGGCTGTACGATCCGCGTCCGGAGCGATCCGGGCCGTACGTGCGGCCCCTGTCCCGATCGGCACGTGTTGGCTTGGGCGTCGCGCCCAAGCCCGCGCGACGCAGGCGACGGCCACGGGTGGCGCGGGCGGGCGGGGCGGCATGTCCGGCTTGGAGCCGGCCGTGCCATTTGACCGGCACGAGGCCCGAGGAGAGGCTGTTTGAGTCAAATGGTGTCACACCGTCGTCACCTCATCACCGGCGCTCGCAGCGGAAATCAGCGTAACAGGACGGACGAATGGACGAGGAGGACGATGTGCTGCTGCTGCTGATACGGCGGCGAGGGTACACTGAACGGACTCACCTTACGGGGCGAGTTCCCTGTTCGCGATATGCAAGTTGACTGTACGTGGTACAGAGTTTTTTTTTTTTTTGGGTGCGCGCACACGAAAGATGCACATATACGATTCATTGATCTCACTATTACTGAGAGTGTTCGTGCGTTCGTTAGAATGAGAGAATAACGGAAAGCGACTGTTTTCCACGCGCATGTTTCCTTAGTTGTTAAATGTTGTGTTTTTAAAATATAGATAAGTTATTTTTTAAAAGAAATACATTAACCTGTTTTTAAATTTAAAATGACTATACTTTCAATTAATCAACAATAATCGCTCACCTAAATATTTTTAGGTCCTGTTTGTTTCAGTTTAAAATTATTGTAATCTAGATTATTAAGTCAGATTACTCTAAACTGGATTATAATAAGCTGATATAAAATAATCTACGAGTTGTTTGTTTCTCTGCATTATTAGAGACATTTAATGGTAGTGGATCTTTAGCCACTCAATAATCTAGAAAAAGCTCCTCTAGAGGAGATTATAGATTATAGTAATCTAGTATAATAATCTGCTTGTTTGTTTCAGCTTACTCCTAATAATCTAGATTATAATATCTAAGCTGAATCAAATATGACCTTAATCTACTGCTTTTCCCTCCTCTCAAACACAGGATATTGTTTTCACGACTCTACTACTACATCGCTACTCCTTCCCGTCCTTGGTTTATGAATAGAAACTTGATTTGCACTTAGAAATACTTATATTTATGAATAGATTCCAAATGCTGAAATTGCTAATGTTTATAAAGAGAGTAGATCAAGCAGACAGATGTGATAAACCACACCAAACACGAACACGTCACAAAAAGGCTCCAATCCCAATCCTTCGGCAACACATGTAGTACTGTAATAAAAATCTCGCAGCAGTATATTCCTCTATGCTTTGGCATCCGATTCTTCCAAAAGATTCTTCTTCTCCTCCTGTACCAAAGTGCCATCCAGCAATGAACCAACCCTAGATTACTAAACAGATCGAGATGATTAGCCATATCTCATCAGCATCTACCATTGTTAAGCTTCCCAAAGGTCAAACCTGGCAATCCTCTCCTCGGGCCCCGAGCTGCAAAAACTTAAAGAAACCAGACTTAGGACAGTCCTAATCCATAACAATAGACATGGTTTCCATAAACTCCACATCATAAAAAAAAACTAGTACTAGACACTACTATTCCAATGCAAACACCACTATTATATACTTCAATTTAATGCTACTTATCTCACATGATATCTTGGATGTTGTGTAGAAACCATGTCTCATGCAAGACATGGTTTACTTATCTTTCCTCATTTATTCACTTGTCACATTATTTTTTTTCCTATGTGGCAACTTATTTAATGCTATAGACATCATCTTAGTCATTGGGTTGGGAATGCTCTTAGATGTGATTTGCATACAGCGCATGAATCGGGGATTAATTGGACCACGCGTACCTTATGCATGAAATGGAATTGGAATTGTGGCGATGAGCTGATAATGCAAGCAAGGAACCTGATTTGCATATGGTTGGTTGGTTCGGAGATCCATTGCACGCTCTCACCGGTCGACAGCGTGATCGATCGGGACCAAATCGCGGCTGGAAATGGACCACGAGGTGGGTGCTATCGATGCTACAGTGGAAGAAGATTCCTTGGAACCCCGATTGTCCCACCGTATCTTATTTTTTTTCTGAGGATGATGACAATTATTTGAAGGTTTTTAGCGGATTTGGATGGATCAGCCAGTGGTTTAGCATTTGGATCGTGATCTCAGCCGTTTGATGTCGTATCTGTCTATCCAAATTTGGTTGGCACTGCTCGTGGAGTCTGTTTGAAATCGATAGGCAGATGGATTTAGTGGTTCAGATATGAGGTGTGTTCAATCAACAAGGTGTTCATTCAGAGGGATAGCAGCTGATACATGATTTTTTCCGACTGATTGCTGAGTCATGACACAGCACAAATGTTGGTGCCACTGCTGTAGTAGTGTTTAAACTTTAATCCAGAATGAGCTGCGATGATATTTTTGTCAAATCGATGACTGATATGTTGATTCTTTCCCCAGGGATTTGCAACTGTCGTGATTGATCCGACAATGAGCATTGTTCATCTTCCTATCAGTGTAGCACGATCCAAACGTTTATTAATACATTATTATTATTATTATTTTCACTTCCAGCACAATGTTATCTTCAGTTTTATCTCAAACTATTATTCGCCAACTTTTTACTTTGAGAAGACAAGAGTGAAATAATTTGTACACCAAAATGGCATTCAGTTTTTTTTAGCTTGCAGAGTAGCCGCCCAGCCCATCAAAAGATATATAAATGGGCCCTTTCTGGGCCAAAGTGGGCTTCTTCAGATCTGAAATTTCTAAAAACGAGGCCTCTTCAGTCCAAAACCTCAGCTCCCGCACCGCGTCGAACACACTGACACCAGAGAACCCTAGCCTCGCCGGTCGCCGCCATGGCCGCCTCGCTCCTCCGCTCCGGCCACCGCCTCCGCCTCCTCCGCCACGGCAGCCTCTCCTGGGCCTCCTTCTCCGCCGCCGCCGCGGAGGAGCTCATCGACGTCCGCAAGCTCCCCACTGACTACGACGCCTCCACCTTCGACCCCACCGCCCCGTCCCGCCCACCGCCCTCCGACCGCGTCTGGCGCCTCGTCGAGGACGTCTCCTCCCTCACCCTCGCCGAGTCCGCCGCTCTCTCCGCCCTCCTCCTCCGCCGCCTCGACGTCCCCGCTCCCCCCATCGCCATCCTCAACTCCGCCGCGGGCCTCGGCGGCGGCGGCGGCGCGGGTGCCGCGGGCGCCGCCGGGGAGAAGGCCGGTGGGGCGGCGGCGGCTGAGAAGACGGTGTTCGAGCTGCGCTTGGAGGCGTTCGATGCGGCGAGCAAGATCAAGGTGATCAAGGAGATCCGGTCATTCACCGACCTGGGTCTGAAGGAGGCGAAGGAGCTAGTGGAGAAGGCACCCGCTGTGATCAAGGGTGGTGTCTCGAAGGAGGAGGCTCGGACAATCATCGATAAGATGAAGGCTGTTGGTGCCAAGGTCGTCATGGACTGATCAGCATCCTCATTTCAATTTTCAAGGTTAGATGCAGATTTCCTCTTCGATTTTAGATTCAACTTAAATGCACGAATGATTGACATGGTTACTGTGGATAAATCGATGATGTATAGTAATAATCGGAGATTTACTTTGTGAAATGTCCTCAGAATGCTGTAAATGTGCATCAGTTACATGCAAGAATGATGTACTGTAGTACCTTTGTCCCAAAATATATTTTGGGCAAAATCCCCGATAGTTACATGCGCAAAATCCCCTATATTTTGGGACGGAGTTAGTACGAATTAGGATGTGAAAGTGGTCTTGTAAACTTTTGAAATTGCGAATCTGTCATGCAGGAGAAGCATTGGGTTTGAAAATAGCTATTTTGTAAAGCTGTGAAGTTGTTATTATGTCATGCCGAAGAGGCGTTTAGGAAATTGAGTTAATATAACCTCTTGGGTCAGTTGTCACTTGTCAGTAAATGCATTAGGGAATTTTATCGGGAAGTTGCCAGACTGATTTTTTGTTTTTGCTGGCATATACTTCTATGCACTACTTGGAAGTTAACCTTGTGCTGCATTCTTCGTGTAATTTTAGTGCACGTGTGCAAGTTTTGAATCTGCTGTCTTTGCCGAGTGCAGGTTCTGTTCACAGTTTTTAACTGTGCTTTCTCATGGTTTGATGGTTGATGCGGATTGGGGTGCCAGTGTTAATATCCTGTCAATTGGCATTTTGAAAGCCCAATGATCTTACAACACACTGGCCAATCCGATGGTGCCATCATGTGTTTCTTGTTCGGTCGATGAATTCTCTGTCACTAACAAGAAACATGGAATAATTTCTGTTGAAAAATGAGATCAACAGGGTGCAGAGCTGGAGTGTGACCTTGAGCCTGGAGTACTATCTTTTTTGGTTGGCTTCACCGGCTGTATATGTATCTCATTTTTGTAATGTTACTGAAGCTACTGAGCTAGATGCACGCTGTGGCGTTCAAGTTTTTATCCTCTGCATTTGTGAAATGACCTCACATGACGGTATGATATGGGTCATATGGACATAGATAATCCATTTATGTGTTTCTTTTTTGAAACTACCATATAGTGAACTGATGAATGTTGTGGACTATATTTTCAAGTATGGAATTCAGGAACCCCTAAAATGACAATGACTGATCCCTGTAGGGCTGTATGCTGAATCCTCAAATTTCTCAAATAAAAAGGGTGTGGGTAGTAGGAGTGTGTAATGTCTAAATAAAAAGGGTGTGGGTAGTAGGAGTGTCTTTTTTTTTTTTTTGCGGGGGGGTAGTAGGAGTGTCTAATGTCTTTTGTGTAGTGAACTCTAGCCATGAGCCAAAAGCAAAGAGAAGAAATTGTCACGCCAGGTCGGCTAAGAGTGGCAGCTGCCGTGTGGCTTTCACTTTCACAATGGGCTGCAGAATGCATGAAGAGGCGAATTCCTGAAGAAGTTTGCTGCTCCAAGCAGATAGCAGTCTACTGACTTGATCATCAGTATCACCCTCCCTCCTGGGGATTAACCGAACAAGGGTGTGTTTAGTTCACTTCAAAATTAGATGTTTGATTAAAATTGGACCGATGTGATGAAAAAGTTGAAAGTTTGTGTGTGTAGGTAAATTTTGATGTGATGGAAAAGTTGGAAGTTTGAAGAAAAAGTTTGGAACTAAACCAGGCCCAAGTCATGAAGAAGGCAAAGGAACTATCTTGGGGATTAATCGAACAAGCCCTGAAGGAGACCGAGGAACTAGCAAAGACGCCATGGTCTGAGAGGGCACATGCATTTCAAGGTGAAACGAAAGTTTCCTCTTCGATTAATTTAACTTACAGATGATTTAATCTTGTTACTGGGGACAAAGCAACGGGGCTTTTAACTATTTGCCACTTTTAGATTTAGCAAATAACTATTTGCCACCCCTATCTCAATGACATGTGGATCCACACGTGTCTATGACATGTGGGTCCAATGGCAAAAAGTTAATTGCCACATCTAAATGTGGCAAATGGTTAAATATCTCCAAAGCAATAGTCTGCTAATGGTAATAAACATCAAGATAATTTGCCAAAAGGAGTGTGATCCTTGGAATGCCTGATCATGCATCAATTACATGTAAATATGTAATTACGCTGTATGATGTAAAAAAAAAAAGCCTTTTTTGGTATTTGGCGAAGTTATGATAAGTCATTCAGAAGAGGTTAGCCTCATTTTCCGAGAGAAGATTAGCCTTTTATTCTTTCTGTCCACGAAGAGTGGAAAATTTATCTATACTTCTATAGGCTGGAAGTATTCGGAACCTCGATCTCGTACATACATATCGCCATCATACATTTCACATAGAGTTCTTGATACATTCTCCCGGATCCAACAAATGCAACAGTACAACTATGCACACTGCTTTACTTCTTCAGCAGATTCCCTACACATCCAGAGGAGCCAGTCTCCTCCACATGATCCGATCATCCGCTTCAGTTCGCGTCAACGGATCAGGATGCAGAATCAGACCGAATTCGTTGCATCAAGCACCAAATGTTGCTTCTCTGACGGTGTCTCGCCGAAAATTCTCTCCCTCGCTTTCTCGGCCTGCAGAAGCAGCATCAGGTCAGTAGGCGGGAGAAACATGATTCAGTTTTCGAGTGATCAAGATTTGATGATGTTGGGGAGAAGGCTTGGAGTTTCAGATAAAGAAACAAACCATCTTTTGCCAGTTGCTGAAGAATGCAATGACGGCGAGAAGCAAGAATTGTAATACGGAACCACAGGCGATGCCCAGCCAAAGCCCTTTGCCTTCCATCTTGAAACCAAAGCCAAGAAGTAGGGCTACCGGAATGCCAACCAGGTAGAATGAACCGAGGTTTACATAGGCTCCCAGGTGCTGCCATCCGCAACCCCGAGCAATACCTGATAACAAGTAATATCTGTCAGTGTTAAGCAATGACGTGTGGTGCATCTATCTTGATATAATCTTCTAGAGAGGAGAAACAATAGTATGTTTCCGTGCTGGAGCTGAATGAGATGTGTGTTTTCGCAAGTTCAGTTCATTGTTTTTGGCATGTCCACAACTGCTCAGAAGCACAAACAATGAAATAGACCTGTGAAGCAAACACCAGTGCCACACTACCAGTCTACCACTAGCCAGGGGAAAGGTGTAATTGCATACTTAGTGAAGTGGAGTCCACACTTAAGACGACATCGCTGATAGATGCGTGTTGATTGTAAACACCACCATATCCATGTTCACGTAAGAGCACATGTTTGAAGGAACAAACAGGTAACTCCCCGAGTAACAATGTCGGCCTCCACAACACAAAATAGCATTAGTTTCATTGAACAAAGGAAAAACAAGAAGCGGCAAGTTACCTGGTATGTCTTTACGATACCGGAGTGACTGAAATTAACTTGCTACCTGAGGTCTTGGTAGAGATTTGACAACAGCGCACACATTGAATTAAGCAATCAAACTAAGGGGTAAAAGATACCGTTGGGCTAACAGGCTAAAGATACTGAATGGTGTAAATGTAATGGCCCCAAAACTATAAGAACCAGTTATATAAAAAAAATGAAATAAGAGAGAGGCAAGGCCAGTTAGATCAAATTTTCGAAAACTTCAGGCATAGCTGAATACTCCATTTTTTCCATTCTTTTGAAGGGAATGAATAATTAACAGATAAATCAAATGTTAGGAAATGTAACCTGATAAAACTCCTTGTAGGCTATCAGCAGCAACTGAGATGCACACAAAAGGAACCATTGAGGTGAAATATGTGACAACCTCCTCATCACTGCTGTAAGCATAGCCCAAGATGCGCTGTGCTGCAAACAGCATCCCAGTAACAAGAACTGCCTCTGTCCCAGCAATAGACATTACAAGGTGAACAGCCGATCGAGCTCCTTCAGGATTCCCAGCGCCTAACTCATTTGCTACTCGAGTGCTGTTCATTAAAACAAAATTCACAAGGCTGTTAACACATGATTATTCTCTGAGAAAAAATAATCATTCACAGTAGTGGTTTGGCTTCTACCTTGCAGCGCCTCCAAGACCATATGGTATAGTATACATCAAAGAGGTAGTCGTCAAGCTGCATAAATGGAGTGCTTATAAAATAACAAAAGGTGCAGCTATAAGAGAATATATTGTTAAGTGCGACATTGAGGACTCTTATTTTCTTACCATATGGAAAGAACTGAACTTTCAAGCTCTGGGTTGGGTAGAAGTCCTGACAGGAGAACAAGGATCTCAAATGACCACCATTCAAAACTACAAAATAATAGAAGAAAATCCATTAATCCAATAAGTGGGAATTTTTTAACAGGAAATAAGAAATACTTACATATAAAACAAGGAGATTCTGAAGCTACTGTAATTACCATAACATTAGTGCAGATGGTAGTGCTATTCGCAGAAACAAACCGACTCCTCTGAATGCCTCGATTGTAGGAGGCGAGCGAGTCACCTTACAAGAACATGAGAATCTGATGTATGCAGCGAGCATGAATGTATTCAACCAGTAAGATATGCTAATTGCTAAAGCAGCTCCAGTAAATCCCATGCTGGTCTTGAACACCAACAGCCAAGACAGAGGGATGTGCAGGAGCAGAGTTGCAATGGAGGACCAGAGCATGGGAAATATTAGACTCTGAGACTGCAGAAATTTTGTGAGAGGCTGGCAGACCGCGTATGCGAAGAGTCCTGGAATCAACCACACTATGTATCTTCCAGCTTCATGTGAGATCACGGGGTCCTGACCTATTAGGGTCAAGAGTTTGCCTATGAATACCCATAGAAGTGAGATGGGAATTGTGACTACTGTTAGTGTGACTATTGCTCTGTAGGTTTGCACTCCTAACTTGTCATACTGTTTTGCCCCATAAGCTTGACCGCAGAGAGTTTCTAATCCACTTGCCATTCCAACCTGTTTTACAAGTTCAAAATTCAAATTATGGGTGGTTTCAAAATTAAGATCACAAACTAAAAAGGCAATCCGTGTACAACTGAAGAGAAAAGTAAAAAAAAAAAATCCTACAGAATATTTCGCCAGAGTATCGAAGTAGTCCTCTAGGCTGTACACACTTCGCAGATTCTGAAAGCTAGTTGAAATCGTGACAATTGACTAGCTCACCATCTGTGCAGGCAATTTAAAATTCATCCTAGAAAAGCATTCAGCGTGGAGTAGTAGACTAGTAGTGTAACTTGTTATTTATCTCTATATTTAGGAGAACGTTGATTTTAAATTTTGTAGGTTTGCAAACTGCTACTTGTATACCCAAAAAAAAAAAATCTGCTACTTACTATGCTATATCCATGATTTATTTCAGAATGTTTGGAACACGCCAAATGTTCAAACAGTATTCCAGCAAAAATTTTAGGCACTGTTCCAATCAAAATCCCCCTTCCAAACTAACCAGCCGCTTGTACGGCTAAACTTTTTGCCTGTCCTCCTACTGCTAAATTTGAACGCCACATTGAACAATATCTGAAACCGTGAAACGTGCCTCTCTGGCTAAAGTGCTAAACAGTTAATCCAATGAGACCAAATCACGCAGGCAACAAATATGGATATAAGCAAATCGAGGACGCGTGAACGAGTGGGGAAATCAGGATATGCGATGACGACGTACGAGGAGGCTGAAGCCGGAGACGCTGGCGAGGGAGGTGGCGATGGCGGAGGCGGAGAGCGGGAGGACGCCGGGGAGGTGCCCCACCATCATGTTGGACGCCACCTGCACGGCGTTCTGCGCCACGCTCATCGCGGCCATGGGCAGCGCCATGGACCCCACCTTTCCTGCCTCCCGCGCCAGCCCGCTCCACCACCTATCTCCGCCCTCCTCCTCCCTCCCTCCTCCCACTCCGGCGGTGCCGTCCGCCGGGAATCGTTTCGAGAGCAGAGGTATTCTCTCCTCCATGGCGGCCGCAGTGCGCGCGTCGTCGTCGTCGCCTCCACCGACCGAGCTCTCTCTCTCTCTCTCTCTCTCCCTCTCTTCTTCTCAGAGACGGCTTTGGTGTCTGTGTCTCGGCGCTGGTGGGCGGGGGGGTTTTAATGGGAAAGGACTCTCGCGATCAGCGGCGGGTTAAAACAGGAGTTATGGGAAGGTTGTTATGTCAAAGTGTCAAATGTGGCGTCCTAATTTTATACTGCGGGTTAAAAGTAGAATGCAAAGTTTTATACGAGTGAGCATCCCCCCCTCAAAAAAAAATACTGGCTAAATAAAACAACTACACTGTGAATATTTTAGGAATGCTTTGAAATACTCGCTCTGTTTTATATTATAAATTATTTTTACTTTACTCTAAATCAAATTACTTTAAATTTAATTAAGTTTGTATAAACAATATAATAATATTTATAACACTAGATTAATTTTATTAAATCTATAATTAAATACATTTTCATAGTTTATTTGTATTGGGTTGAAAATGTTACTACTTTTTTCTACAAACTTAGATAAATTTAAAGCGGTTTGATTGTAACCAAAGTCAAAACAACTTATAATCTGAAACGAAGAGAGTAAGGTTTATAAAACATAAATAAAGAGAGTAAGATTTATAAAACAGAGAAAGAAAAAAACATACTAATAGAATGCTATGCTCTTGTCTGCAGAATTTTAGGTCACGAGAATACGAATCAAACATAGGAATATAAACTTTTCAGGAAATTTGTTTGGATAGGGGAGAGACTAGATAGAGAAAGGAATATAATGCATACAAGAGTTTGAGCTCATACTTATTTTTCTTTGGAATTGAAACAACCAAATTCATAGGATATTCAAAGTTCCATTGTTTCAATCCGAAGTATACCATAGGAATAAAAATCCCAAGAAATTGAATCCTCTATAAATACTATGAAAATCCTCCAATTCAAGAAAGGCATGTTAGCATTGGTGAGCGAATCTTGTTGAGGCTTTTTATTTTTTAGAAACACAGTACAAGCGCACATATGTTTTTTATAAACGTACATACACATATCCTACACCTAGCATATCTTTGAGATTGATGAAGTTATTACGGACACATCGCTAACGACGGATACATTGTTTACCATTGAAAATGTCAAAGTTTTCACCTTTCCTTCAAAAGAAAAAAAGAACTCTACCACCCTACCCTGGTGGTGTTTTCCTAGCATACATCTCTTCATAGTATATTGCATTCTTGCCAAGATAATTATAAACAGGCTACTAGAAAAGATCAAACTGATTCAGTCTCTATGTGCTAGTATGTACCCACCCCACCCAGCTGACATGGTGGTCGTTCTGTCCCGGCACCAGAGTACCCACGTTAACAACCGAAGCTTAACACACTATGATGATCCTCTGACAGCTAAACCAAATACTCTGCACTGAGACAGACAGAGTAGCACGGAAAATACCCCACGCAATGATATGCATCACGAATCATGGAGGAGTTTATAATAAAATCTGAATCGAATCGAATAGAACAGCTACAGTGGATCAGTGAACAAGTACAGGCGATACTGGCAGAGATGTTTGCCGGGTCCTCTTTTGGATTGGCACTTCCGTCAGTTAATCAAAAGTTCTTGCCTTTTCCGGCCTCCTGTTATCACTTCACCGTCACATCGCTTGTTGATCTGTGTGCAGTGGATGTCTTGGCCCGGGAGAGGAAAACTAGGGGCTCTGCTACAGACTACAGGCCAAAGCTTTCCAACCTGTAACACACTGGGATTTGTACAGTGCCTGCTCATGGCTTCTTGCAATTATGCAACACATTATGCGTCGTCTTCTTCATGGAACCAGCTGAAGATGCTGTCGATTTTTATATGTGAGGACAGAGAGAACTCAAGTAGTAGTAGTTCGGCGTCGACTATATGCATATGGCAATGTTTTTTGCAGGGTTCTACTGTGAGTTACAGCACACGCAATTTGAAGTTCAAAGATCTATAGAAAACTGAAAACCTATGTGACAAATTTGGCAGATCTGAATGTCTGATGCGGCAATGCAGAAGCCTGCATCCACCGGCGGTGCCATCAGGAATTCTCGAGGAAACAGCCTGCAGCCGATGGTCGCTGTCGCCAAGACGTCGGTTTGCCGAAAAGACGGCATGCGAGTGCGCGCGCTGACTCACTGCGGCAGCGTGATCGGCATTGCTACCGCGTCCGAGCAGGCGTGCCGATCCAAACCAACGCAGCGTCAGAATCGCCTCATGCTTCAGATGGTTTATTTATAGCGATAACCGGATAAGGTAGCGGCGCAGGCGGGCGAAACACCGAACCTTTTTCACTTCTCCAGACAAAGAGACCATGGTGTGAGACTTCGAATGCTGGTGCCACACAGCTTAGACTTGTTTATGAGAACTTAAAATTCTAAGAATCTGAGATTTAGAGAAGCTAGGCTTTTTCAAAATATGGTTTCTAGTTTACTTTTTAAATTCTACAGCCATAGATTTTTAGAATCTACTAGGTAATAATATGGACTGTTTATGGACTGTTTAGGGAAACTGAAGCTTTTGTGAGAAGCTGCAGTTGCTAGGAACTAAACAGACACTCGATTCAAAGACCACCGGCACAAGTAGATACACCAAATACACAGGATATACTAATGTAGCATCTGATTTCAGACACCACAATACATCAGCTGTTACACTGCATCAGACATTCAGAACTATCTCATTTCGCAAGCCAAATCATGAAAATTGAGGCTGAACAAGCATCCCGCTTACGGATCATACCATTTAACTTGCAGAAGTGCGCAAAAGGATTCCGGTTAGTTACAGTAATCTAGACCACAAACACAGGACCCATGACTAATAATGGGTTCTCTTGGCCTATTGTTTCCGGATCATACCCTATTGTCACAATTTAGGGGAAATTGGAGAATGAACAGTTGCTATTGTGTTAGCCCAAAGGGCATATATGAGTACAATAGAGATAGGAAATTACTAATATACCCCTAAACACATAATACTCAACACCCCTGCTCAAATGCAATGTGTATACAATAGCATTGCATTTGAAACTAAACACAAGATAAATGACACACTACTATAAATACAAAGTCCATGTTTGAAGATGTTGTCGAAGCATTGCTCTTGAATGAATTAGAAGAAGAGAAAACCATCCTATCCTCAATGAAGTAGACCTCGAGCCTTCACAAACTGTTCTTCAGCCCTTAGTACCAAAAGCCTTCACAAACTGTTCTTTGGCTCTTCACTGATTCAGAGACGGTGATGATGACGAGATGAAGGACCTTCACAAACTGTTCTTCGGCCCTTCAATGATTGATGATGATGTCAACTCCGATGGGGAGCTGGTGATATGACAAAGATCAGCTCCGACGTGGAGCTTCTGGTGATGATAGAAGGCTAACTTCGACATGGAGCGAGCGAGATAGTGATAATGATTGACAAGCATGACTTCGACGAACCGATGGACTTTGATGGACTTGATAGGAAACATAGGAAATTGATTTGTAGATGACATTGATATACTAGCAAATGACTTAGGATACTAGCAAAAGACATAAGAGAACAATTGATGCAGATGACAAGAAGCAATATCAAAATCAAAAGGACATGCACAGGGCTGTGCCTTGGTTTTCTGTTGCCTATCTCAAACTGAAGCACAATGATATGTTTGCAAGACCAAAGGATATTAATTGACTTGTTGATGGCAGCAGTAAGCAAGCATAGCAAACACAAAATAGATCTGTTGATGGAACAATTCAACAATCAAGATAGTTGAGACTATGGATGGCTTCACAAATCCGGCAAGAGCAGAGGCCGGCTGCATGATGAGGGAAGCATAACTCGATATGGGCTTCTCTACTGCTATTTGTTGATGTTTGAATATGGAACAAGGTGGATCTGCATGACACTTGCAAATTGCTGTCGCTGCTACTTGATATTAGGGAAGACGATGGCTTGTTGCTGTTAAGTCCAGTAACCAGTCTCCAAGCATCTATGTGGAGAAGCAGAGAGAACAGAGCAGGCTAGACCAAGAGGACCAGGACCTTGACCTGTGCGGCGACGATGCAGATGGTCACGCGCGCAGGCGGCGGACGGAAAGCTGGACGACTGACATGGGAGGAGGACGGCGCTGGCGGCGATGAAGAGAGCGCCGCGACCGGCCAATGGGAATGCGGCGACAACGACGAGCCACGGCGAGACGCGACGACAAGATCCGCGACGAGTACGGCCTGGCTACGACTGACGTGGTGACGAAGAACTGGATCTGAATGCTTGTTCATGCATCCGCTGCTTGCTTGTGGATTTGATTGCTTGATGCTGCTTGTTGCTTGTGCTGACTGGATCTGCTTGCTGCTTGTGGACGAACGACGAAACGATTGGCTGCCACGATTGACGGCTCGACGGTGGTGGACGACGAAGCTGACGAGGATGTGCACGGATTGGATGGGCTCGCCGGTGGCGAGCTGCCACCGGCGTGCCGGCGTGGACTCCGGATCGACGTTAGGGTTTGATCCCTTGCTCTTGCTCTGATACCATGTCACAATTTAGGGGAAATTGGAGAATGAACAGTTGCTATTGTGTTAGCCCAAAGGGCATATATGAGTACAATAGAGATAGGAAATTACTAATATACCCCTAAACACATAATACTCAACAACTATAGTCTAGACAAAAGAAGCATCCAGCATTTGATGAAACAGAACTTGCGCAAGTACTCTTAACCAGATTGGCAGATTTCAAGAGAACATACAGTTTTCAGCAACCACCAGGAACTAGGGAACAATTTGCCTTCCAAAAGACGAGACACCAATGACAAACCTAGGAGAATGAAGAAGCATAATCACCACTCTCACAGCATCACAAGATATCCTAAAAGGCACGGGCATCAAAATGTTAGCATCCCCACTCTGATCATTGATCAGCAGCGGGCTTACTTCCTTCACCGCCTGTGTGGTTTTCCGGCGAAGCTGTCTGTGGCTCCTGCTGCTGCTGCCCTGCGCTCGTACTGGGTTCAGGATGGAAGTTGATTGGGAACTTGGTGACTCGGGGCTTGTCAGCCAGAATGTTCCTCTGCACCCTGTCTATTAGAAGCTTTGCCGGGGGTTCCTCCCTCAGTTGCTCATCGTCATAATCATTGTTCACATAGTAACCTACTCTCATGAACTCCTGTCCCATGTAGGAACATGTCAATAGCAGCACAGTGACGCCGATTATGTCTTCTTCACGGATCTTTGAGGGATCCGGTGGGTCAGCCTAAAATGGTAATGGCACATCAATTTTGAGATGCAAAATTTAATAGTTCTGTAATCTGAGTTTAAGGCTTAATTGAAGCAGAAAAAATAAACAAGGAACGAAAGTGTGGTAGGGTTTCTGGATCCATTGTGCACTATAAAGATATTGGAATCAAAATATTAGTATTTTAGTATAGCAAAACCAAATTTACCTGGAGTACAAAACGGTAGGTCCCAACATTGACGGGGCCAACAAGCACACTCTCTAATTGTTGGTCATAATTTTCATCTTCAGCAGATCCAACATATATAAGCTTCCACTCCAGATCTAAAAGGTAAATCAACAAACCTTTTTATCATCACATACCCTCAAGAAATGAAATAGGCAAATTAAAAGCACATATAGCATATCTTGCCACTGTCCAACACGCATGTTACTTTGTGCAATTATCAACAAACCAGAACCAATAGAGTAGAGGCTAGAGAAGAAAAGCAGCACATTTCCTGTCTATCATTGCACAAAAGAGAAACATCTCTGAACACTTCAAGGTCCCTTGATAATGATCAACACCAATAACACACAATCAAGACAGAATGATCTCAATCGAATGTTGTAGAATCTCAGACACACCAGGACACTAGATGATGTCTTGCAGAAGGATAGTTAATACAGTAGAACAATCTACCAGAATCGATGAAGATAGGAGAGGGAATCTGACATCTTGGGACGAAAACTCCAGGTTGTGACAGGCAAAATATCATTTTTTTTTCTGCAATTGACTAAGCCCTCAACAAAAACAATAGAGGAAAAGTATAAATTCACAGTCAGCTACCAGGCCTTGCCCAGTAGTTTTTTCTTTATTAGGAAAATATTTATAAATATTTACAAACAAACATGGGAACTGAAATTACAAGGTTTGTAACCAATCAAAAACCAATTATCTGAAGGGATCATTCATCCTACACATATGTAGGATAACCTCTTTTCTGAAACCATGGAGTCAATCTGAGAAACTTGGGTCTTTCTTCTTAAAAAAATTCCCAATTCGTTGTTTTACTGCGCATTCAATTGATGGGCATAAATTTGTCTGTGACATTTGCGTAAAGTGTGTCAGCTACACTACTAGTCTATTATCGCATATTGAAAAGGGGTAGCACCAAACATCCTGACAACAGACACTAACAAGATCAATCTATAAACTGGTAGGCTAGATTCGATATCATAACATACTGCCATGAGGAACAAAGAACATATCCAACATAATACCAATACTAGAGAACTCCGTGACAATTAATTTTGCAACTTGAACTGATCCCTAACTAAGGCAAAGGAGAAGCTAACAAAACAAAGAGCATCAACTTCTGTCTCGGCGCACTTCTGCAAGCTGTGGCCAAGCAACTAGCAAGGTGCCTTCTACGAGAAATATTAGTCTTTCATCAACCCATCGACTAATTTGGTCATGAATCAAAAGATGATAAATGAAACAAGTGGTTCCTTGAGAACTGGCACATAGCTCAATGGCAAAGATCTTGCCTTATATCCATGTGACCTGCGTTCGAGCCCTGCTCTCGGTGCTCACCATTTTGCCTATGATTAAATGCTCAGCAGAAATATTTTACTTCTTTCTTAATTTGATACTAAGTTCCTAGTTAGTATCCCATATAATTCTTCTCTCAGTGGAAAAAGAGACAAGACTATGATTAAATGCTCGGCAGAAATATTTTACTTCTTTCTCAATTTGATGCTGAGTTCCTAGTTAGTATCACATATTCTTCTTTCTAAGAAAAAAGAAACAAGTAATTCCTTAGTTTCGCCTATGATTAAATGCCGGGCAAAAATATTTTGATTATCTCTTAATTTCATACTAAGTTCCTAGTTATTATCCCACATTCTTCTTCTTTCGAACAAAAAAGAAACAAGTGATTCCTCTGATTTGTCAAGCTGGCCAATGCATAAGAAACATGCTAGAGTGTGTGCAGCATTCGCTATTAGCCTGCCAATTACACAAAACGCTATCATTCACCATGAATGAAATCAACATGATATATTACCACCCACATCACAAAATTTATCTGGTTGTGGTGGAAAAAATGGAACCCATGGTAGAGTCATGCATCACTCCCCAACTTCCGGACTTTACATGCTAACGACAACGAAACCAACACGGCCCAAAGCCCAGCATCGCCGAATCGAGACGGCACCCAACGAACACCCCCAACCACACGAAACCCTAGCACGCCGCCACGCGCCAACGGAACCAGGAGGAGGAGGAGGAGGTAAGGGGAGGCAGGCCTTACCGTCGTCGAGGGGGATGAGGCACTCGTAGGAGATCTCGAACTGGAAGGGATTGAGGAAGGCGGTGGGGTTGTCCAGCACCGCCACGTTGGTTATGTTCACCGCGCTCATCGCCGCCGCCGCCGCCAACGCCAACGCCGCCGGGCGGAGGAAGAGAGGAGAGGCTCGCCGCGGAGGCGAGGAATCGCGCGCGGCCGCGGCGATGGGTTGGAGAGCGGCGAGGCGAGATGGGGAGGGAGAGGCGAGGGCGGAGGAGCCCTTTTGTGGAGGGTTTATGCGGCGGCGGGAATTGGGGCGGGAAGCCAAATCGGGATGGCGGGAGGGAGCCGCCTCTCGCAGGTTTGGAGACGAACGGGAAAACTGAGAGGGAGGAGAGACTTCACGAGATTCCCCAATTTTAGTACGCCTCCCAGGGTTTACAAAACCAAAACCGTACTATTCTCGTAGTTATTACATGCGATAATCTTATCAGTTTTTAAAATTATGATATCACTTGTGGTAAACTGGTAACCGTGTGATTTTCATGATAATCACGTGGTTACCGCGGTAACCATCAAACTATAAACCCCCCAAACGGTTTGGTAAACCCTGCACCTCTCTCGGTCCGGCGATTGTAACAATAGGTCCATCCTAAACGGTTTGGTAAACCCAGCACCTCCCTTGCTCCCGCGATTGTAACAGTAGGGCCATCTCAAACGGTTTGGTAAATCCAGCTCCCGCGATTGTAACAGTAGGATCAAACGCATACTAGAATTGGAGAGATTTCACATGAATTTTGGAAGAGTAATAAAACAAGTTTGGTAAATTTTGGTGAATTAACTGCCTTTGATTTTGGTTCGATTTCTATCCTCTTATGAATGAATTCCATGAAGAGAAGTTTTTTCTATGTGTGTTATAGTAACACTTCAAAACACAAAACGTGATGGCACAACCAAAGAACTGATGCAATGAATATACATGAGAAGGTTTACATAGTTCATAACAGAATGTTTGATACGCTCTTGCTAAGAATTAAACTCGCAGATGTACAGAAGACGTCAGGTTTTCGCACGCACAATGCTCACTGTTTCAACTTTCAACAAGGATGTTCGCAAGTCCCGGAAGAACACCATACTACTATTACACAGATGAGATAAAAATAAAGGGAACAGCTCGTGGACACGTCGAAACTCATCCATCCATCACCGGAAGACGTGGAAAATAGATCCATGGCACAGTCCGGTCTCACTTTTTTAGAACACTGCAACACGAAAGCGTGGAGAAATATTAGCAAATGGTCTAACAACTATAGTAACAAGCTACCTCACTAGTATGACTAAAAGAAAATATGCAAGAAATATAATTAAGAATGTGGGAATGGTCTTATGTCGTGTAAAGAGAGAATGTCGAGAAGATTGTTTACTTCGGTATTGAAGCTTGTCTGGAAACAAAAACACTTACTTGTAAAGATAAGCCGCAATACCAAGAATAACACAGAGCAGGACGATATCAATGCAGAAGTTGCGACTAGATCTCAGCTGATAACAGTTCACGAGGAGAAGCGAATAAGTATTTAACTCAAGCAATCAACCAAGCATGCCAAGGGAAGTTAGTGCTAGGTGTTACCTGAAGAACGGTCTCTTTTAGTCTGACGTTGGTATTCTTCAAATCTGTGTTGGCTCTATCCACCTACATTCATCAGTACACCATATAAATAAGAGATAAATAAACTAAGCATTGCTGGATATTGCACAATTGCAGAAGAGGAATCCATGGCTATTGGAGAACCAACCTTCTCGTCCATTTCATCCATCAAGGGAACTTGCCTATCCAGTTCCTGATGATCACAAAAATTGAGCATGGTAACTATGTTTCATATAACCATTGCATCGTATAGTATTGTATAACTCAAGATGAAGCACAGCAACCAACCTCATTCATATCAGATGCCATGTTTTTCAGAGTTTCCAGCCCTTCACCGATAATATCCAAACCTTCATCCTGCAGAATTTCAATTCCATACACAGGTCACCTTACATAAGAAATCCCACTTCCAGCAGTAGCCAAAAATGAAAAGGAAGAAAAGCGTGTTCGGGGAATTAATATATTACCTGTTTCATTTTGCGCATCTCATATTCCCGACGAAACTGATTTGATTCTTCTGTTCCCTTAAAGTACTCATCATCAAAGTTGCCATCTGTATGTGGCAAGCGGGAAAGTAGGTCAGCTCATGGCTCCTTCAAGAGGACCAACAAAAGCATCTAACAGGATCATGCCCGAAATGATGAGAAAAGAAACAGAAAAACCATTGCTCAAACAACTTTAGGCATGACTGCACGCATGGTTAATCAGTCAGCTCATGACTCCTTCAAGAGGACCAACAAGAGCATCCAACAGGAGCATGCCCGAAATGATGAGAAAAGAAACAGAAAACCATTGCTCAAACAACTTTAGGCATGATGGCACGCATGGTTGATCAAAACTCTGTCAATCTGATGGTTGTATATTTCAACACTGTCATACTGATATAGAAACAAGAGTTACCTAATCAAAATATACACTAACATAGTGTACTAAAAAGTAGAAGTTGGCACGTGACATTGATGATGGTGCGGTACCAAAAATGACGTCGTAAAAAAGCACATGTGCATATGGAAGCATGAACCTAATATTAGGATTCCTTCATAAATTGGAAACGCGACCTCATACACATGCAGGATACTTATAAAATGAACCGACAAATGCAAAATGTACAGCTTACTGCAATCTAGAACAACCGATGCGTAGGGGAAGTAGAAGTTGGACACATCTTTAAAGAAAAAAAATATGCATATTTTGTATATCAATATACAGAACACACATGTGATATGTTGAATGATGCTTACTAACCAGAAGTGTCAAACTTAATGGCTCCACCAGTACGGGATCCTGAGGCGCCCCAAGTCCCATTTTTCTTTGCACTTGAACTACCATCTGGTATTGATTGTATTCTATCGGGTAAGGCAGCAACCAGATCACTACGGGTCGCGAGTTCCTCTTTTGTGAGCCCTTTGACCTGTTGCAAGTTGCAACAAAATATTGAAAACCAATTCTTCAAAATTCTAGGTGAAAAACTGTTATGTACAATTTATAGATATCATATAATTGAATAATGTAAAAGCATGTTTTAAAAATATAGTATAACCAACACAGGCATGTATGAAGAAAGAGTGTCAAGGACATCACATTGCCTAGTGCAAACATGCAGGTGGCGTGGACAGAAATCTTTAGCAAGGGAACAACAATCTTACAAAGTTAACACTATGGCAATGTCAAGTTAAAATGTAGAGTACATTAAGTTCTGGGTCAACAGAAAATATTGGAAGGCTTAACATCAACTGCATCACCTTTACCCAATAGCCTAATTAAAATAAATAAATCTAGTCTTTAATAAACACAGGCTACTGAAACGATGAAGAGACCTCATATGGATTGTGCACAGCATATTTGACGCCAATTACAGAATACAATGTGTAACCACACGACTATGTGGTGAGTTCCTCTGTGAGACTATCTAGACCCCAGTTTCACCCGATTAGTGTTCATTCTAGCAATCCAATGAAAAGTCTTGACTCGTTCATAGTAAAATTTAGAAAAGTCTAGTCCCAGACAGTCGAAACCCCAAATTTCCCCCCAAAAAATCAAACATAGTCCACCAATCCTAAATTCCATTCCATCAACATCAAATGGCCCATGCAAATCACTTCCTCAACGACGAGAGCCTCCTTACAGTCATCCTAAATTTAGACATCCACCATCCGCGGTAAGGTGGAAGCTACTACGAGTACTACACTAAAACAAGGAGAGACCGAGTCCTCGGGCCACAGTATCCGCAGATCTAGCATGATTCACCCAAACTAAGAAGGGGGAGTGTATAGATCAGTAACCTTCTTCAGCGCGAGGCGCTGCAGCTTGGGCAGGTCCTCCTCGACGAGCTTGGCCTTGGTTCGCCGGATCTCCGCGTTGAGCGCGACCACCGTGGCGCGGTTCTTCTCCTGCTTCGCCGCCTCCGCTTTCTGAAACAAAGTGCCCCCCAGATTCAGATCGAGGGGAGGAGCCAGCCAACCACCAAATCGGACGCGGAGACAGAGAGGAGGAAGGGAATTCGCATCCAGACCTCGACGCATTCGTTGATGTCGGCGTCGATGGAGCCGTAGAGGCGGGCGAAGGGGTCCTCGCCGGCGACGTTGGCGCCGTTGAGCCTCTCGACGTCGTACTTGTCGTACTTCTTGCAGATGGAGTCCACCCGCGTGAGGATGTCGATCACGCTCATCTTCGCGCGCCCCCGATCCCGATCCCGATCACGATCCCTCCGCCCGCCCGCGAGCGAGATCGAGGCGAGGATTCGGGAGGAAGCAAGCAACCGCGACGCTGCCCTTCCTTTCTCCGCCCGAGCAAACCGAAGCAGCGCACGGTGAAAGGGGGAGATGACGAGCCGAAGGTCAGAGAGGCTACAGCCTGGCCGGCCGGTGGCGATCCCGTCATGTGGGCCGCACCAACCGGCCCGGTTAGATTGGAATGGGCCGATTTGGATGAACTTGGGTTGCATTTGGGCTTTCTATATGGGCCTGAATTTGAATTTCCTTGGGATGCAAAATTCTCTCGAGGAAAAAAGTACACCGAAGGTCCCTCAACTTGGCATCGAGTTACAAAATCGTCCCCCAACCACAAAACCGGATACAACGCATCCCCCAACTTATAAAACCAGTGCATACTGATCCCGGTTTTAGCTGACATGGCGGCTGACTCAGCGTGGAACCCACGTGGGCCCCATATGTCAGGATGCCACGTCGGCCAGCCTCTCCCTTCCTTTCCTGTCCCCTCCTTTCGTCTCGACTTGTTAGGATGCAACGTCATCAGCAGGGCGGCCGGCGGTGGGGAGGGGGTTGCCAGGGTGAGAGGTCCGACGGCCGGCGGGCGATGCGGCGGCGGCAACGTGGCGGCTGAGACACGAGAGAAGGGGAAGGCAGCGGACCAGCGTTGTGGCGGAGAGGCGGCAGCAGGCGTGCGAGTGTCGTGGCGGAGAGGGCGGAGGCGGTAGCTGCGGCGGAGAGGCGATGGCGGCGGATGCGAGCGTCGTGGCGGAGAGGAGGCGGCGGCGGCGGCTGCCACGCGGGAGGGCAGGCCGAAGGCGACGGCGTGGGCGAGCGTGGAGGCACGCGACGGCGAGGCTGCCGCTCCGCCCGTCGCCTCTTCTCTCTCAGGTTTCTCCTCGTCTGGGTGGGCAGGTCGGCCGGCGGGTTGGGAAGGAAGGGAAGGGGTTGGGGTGATGGCTTGCTGGAGCTGCTTCGGCTGCAGCCGGTCGATCGCAGCAGGAGGCGAGGTCCGGCTGCCGGAGCCGTTCCAGCTGCCGGCGCCCTTGCCCAGCTAGCCGCATGGTCTAGGGACTTGTTCGCTTTCATCGTTCTTCGAATTCTCTCCCCGTTTCTTCGTGTACTGTTTAATTGGTTCTTAATCTGCTCATAAATTAATCGTCGTCATCTATGGCCTGGATTGCCGGATAGTATCTTTGTGCTTGTAAATTTTCAGCGGCTATGCGAGAGCTCGTGCCAAATTTGATATGCGAGAGTTTTGTTGTTTGTTTCGCCGGCGACCGAGCAGGACGGGTCCGGGCACCGGAGCGACAGGCACCGCGCGCCGTCGCCCACCGCCACGCGGAAACGACCGGTGATGCGGCAGCCGCACCGGCCTGCCGGAGGACCGGGCAAATGGTGGGCGAAGCGGGCAACGACGCGGGCCGGAGTGGCCGGCCGGCGGTGGGCAGGCACGCTGCGGGAGAGGAAGGGGCTGCGGCGGCAGGGGCGCAGAAGGTCAGGCCGCACCGGCAGGCGGCTGTCGACATCGACCATTTAGAGGGCAGAGAGAGGACAAGAACGGGGAGAGGAGAGAGCGGAGGCGGATGGCGCCGACGGGGAGCGGGATGGGGATAGCAAGGCCGTCATCGCCGTCGTCGTCCATGGCGTGGGGAGGCCGCCTCCGCTCCGCCTGTCGCCTGCCTGCCGCCGCCGACCCGCCTGCCCACCGGCCGCCGAACCTCCTCCTCTCCCGCCTCGCCCCGTCGGCTTCCTCCCCAACCCGTCGGCCGGCCTGCCCACCCAGACGAGGTGAAAGCTGAGAGAGAAGAGGGGAAAGAGAGAGATGACGTGGCATCCTGACATGTGGGTTCCACGCTGACATGTGGGTTCCACGCTGAGTCAGCTGCTACGTCGGAAAAAACTGAGGTCAAAACCGCCGAGGGACCTAGTTTGCCCTGGTTTTGTAAGTTGGAGGATGCGTTGTATCCGGTTTTGCGGTTGGAGGACGATTTTGTAACTCGATGACAAGTTGAGGGACCTTCGGTGTACTTTTTCCTTCTCTCGATGCCACTGGATTGGGCCGGTTTGGACCAATTTGCGTGCATTTTGAGCTTTCCATGTGGGCCGTAGTTTGCATTCCTTTTTTTTTTGAGAAACTACCAGAATGCCCGTATGTTGCAACACGATTTTAATTAATTAAAGAAAATATCATTAATCTATTATTATAATCTTTTAATTCAATTGATGTAGATATTTGTTCCTGACTTGTGGATTTTTTTAGTCTCACACTCTCCCTTTTTTTTCTTTCTCATGGGAGTGGTCGATATGTGCAGCGTCTAACACCACATGTCCTTTTTCTTCGAAAAAAGAGTTCTCCCTTATAACTTTTATAAGGAGTATAGATAGTTTGCATTCCTTGCTTGCTGCTTTTTTTATAGATATAATTTGCATTTCCTTGTTGCACTGATCATTAGCTCATTAGTTCATCCCATGAGGACATGATGACAGTATGACACTACCCAGAATGATTATTTTTCACTTAATATTTGGAGATTTATCTCGACGTCACTGGGTGGCATATAAGGGATGCGACAAACACTCCATATCAATCGAGGAATTTCCTCTCGTCTTGAATTATGACTGATCATGACTTGTCATTAGAGAAGTTAAAGAAAAAGATGGGACTTATCAGGAGAGACTAAAAAAAGAGTAGCCCTACGAGTAGTTTAGTGTGTTTTGCCATACTACCATGTGATGGTGATGTCAAAAACATGGGGCTCGCGTAACCGCAAAACTAAGGCTGTCCCAGACACACTAATCAAAAGCATTCGAATTTAGAACTCCTATAATTTGTTAGTTTGTTTAATCACTCTTTGTGTCTCATGATGATTCATGCTTGCATAATTGCATACACTTCTCGACTCTAAGCTTGGACCACACAACCCGTACATAGGACGAAACCGAAAGCATCACCCAAAAAAAAAAAAACTAATGTGCCCCTCTTTAGCATGTCAGAATAATATGGAAAAGGCGTCGAGCAGAAACAAATATGTCAAGAGTTTGACAAACCTGACAACTGCCAATGCAGCCAATGAGCCAAGCAGCAACTTGTTGATGGCTGGTAGGCTTTCCCATTATATTCTGGCAAAAACTTTGCTTCCATTTTTCTATTGACGACGATGAGTTCGCCGATTCCGGCCGGGCCGGCTCAGCTTTTCTCCTTCGGCTAGCGTTTGGACGCACACTTTTGAGAGAATCGAAACACGGAGAGAAGTGCTCCGATGCATGACACCTCCTTTTCCACGTACTTAACGCCAAAGGGAAACAATGATATGCAGTGAACACAAAGGGATTGACCCTGCCCAGGATCATCAATACACGTTGAGGCTTCTTCGTGTGTGAAAGCATGGCTAACTCGTCTGGTCAAAGGCAAAATTGCTGCTATCCTAAAACAAATAGTACTAGGATAAATAAATGAAAGGGCTAATATAACACTCGCACACACGCGAGACGACAAAATGGAGAGCTAGCACACACGATAGGGACGGCTCGACGGTAGGGGAGGAGGAATAATGCAGGCAGGATGTTACTATGGCCACGTTTAGTTGGTTAGTGTGACAAAAAATTTTTAAAAGTATACAGACATACATAATATATATTTAAAGTATTAAAGGTAGACTAATAACAAAATAAATTACAGATTTCACATATAAACTGTGAGGTGAATTTATTAAGTTTAATTAATCCTTCATTAGCAAATGTTTACTGTAGCATCACATTGTCAAATCATGGCGTAATTAGACTCAAAAGATTCGTTTCGCAATTTACATGCAAACTGTGCAATTGGTTTTTTTCCATATTTAATGCTTCATATATGTATTCAAATATTTGATGTGACGGAATTTTTTAAAGTTTAAATTCAAATATTTGATGTGACGGAATTTTTTAAAGTTTGAAGGGAAATAAACACGGCCTATGGCGCAAAATTGTACTACAAACTCCCTTTCGCGAGACGAGAGAATGCAACGCCGTGCCGCTCTGGCGGCTGGGGCCCAACCGCGAAAGGCAATCCATCCCTCTCTCTCCCCGTCGCGTAAGGCCGCTATAAATCAACCCGTCGCGGGTTGCATTGCATCGGTCGGTCTCGGTCGCTGCCGTCCCTGTGCTTGGAGTAGACACGAGCCGGTGACGCGCATATCGTCTTCTGCTCGAGATCGATCGATCGATCGCTTGGTTGGTTGCTGCGACTGCGAGGGAGGCCGCGGGTGGTGAGGAGGATTGTGCAAAAAAAATGGGGCGCGCGCCGTGCTGCGACAAGGCGAGCGTGAAGCGGGGGCCGTGGTCGCCGGAGGAGGACGAGCAGCTGCGGAGCTACGTCCAGAGCCACGGCATCGGCGGCAACTGGATCGCGCTCCCGCAGAAAGCAGGTCGGTATTAGTGCACTGCTCGTCGTCGTCGATGCTAGCCGGTGATGAAACGCCATGTTTGTATGTGAATTCTGATGTCTGCGTGTTCTCTTGTGTGATTCAGGGCTCAACCGCTGCGGCAAGAGCTGCAGGCTCCGGTGGCTCAACTACCTGAGGCCGGACATCAAGCACGGCGGCTACACCGAGCAGGAGGACCACATCATCTGCTCGCTCTACAACTCGATTGGAAGCAGGTGATGATTTAAGCCGGAGATGAATATTTCTTTTTTCTTTCACTGATCCTGTTCTGAGTTCTTGAACTGACTCTGTTTGCGTGCGTTGCCAGGTGGTCCATCATCGCGTCGAAGCTCCCCGGCCGGACTGACAACGACGTCAAGAACTACTGGAACACCAAGCTCAAGAAGAAAGCCATGGGCGCCGTGCAGCCGCGCGCCGCCGCCTCGGCGCCGAGCCAATGCACGTCGTCAGCGATGGCGCCGGCGCTCTCGCCGGCCTCCTCGTCCGTCACCAGCTCGAGCGGCGACGCCTGCTTCGCCGCCGCCGCCACCACCACCACCACCATGTACCCGCCACCGACGACGCCGCCGCAGCAGCAGTTCATCCGCTTCGACGCACCACCCGCGGCGGCGGCGGCGGCATCCCCGACCGACCTCGCGCCCGTGCCACCACCGGCCACCGTCACGGCGGACGGCGACGGCGGCTGGGCGTCCGACGCCTTGTCCCTCGACGACGTGTTCCTCGGCGAGCTCACGGCCGGCGAGCCGCTGTTCCCTTACGCCGAGCTGTTCAGCGGCTTCGCCGGCGCGGCGCCGGACAGCAAGGCCACCTTGGAGCTCTCGGCGTGCTACTTCCCGAACATGGCGGAGATGTGGGCGGCCTCCGACCACGCCTACGCCAAGCCACAGGGTCTCTGCAACACCCTGACATAGGAGGACACGCTAAAACCTCCATTGAATTCTTGCGTAGCTGCGAACGCAACGGCGATCGATCGATGCGTCGCCACTTGCTACTAGCATAATTCTTGCTCTCTTTTTTTTTTCAATTTTTTTCTCTTCTTCGAGTGGCCCATTCTCTAGCTGGCGTTTTCTCGTGTATTATGAGTGATCGATTATTACATGTAAATTAATCCATAGATGTATCTGCACTGATCCAAATTCTCCAGCGATTACGCTTGTCAGTTCGTACGCGATCCATCCGTTGGCTTGGCTCTCCGGTACACCGGACAAGTTAGCGCGTCCCGAAAACGATACGCCCCTGTCTGTCTCCCTCTCGCCGAGCCGAAGTCACTTCACATGTACAGTGTCACAGTGACAAATCTGACGAGACGAAATGTTAGGTGAGGCACAAGAGGTTCAGAAGAACAACGTGTGCGAGACATGGACCAGTTCTCGTGCGGCGCGCACGCACAGTGTCATGGACTTGACCCGTTCCGGTTTTCGAGGGCCAATGGGGAGGAGAGGCGTGTGGACGGTTTTCTGTCACGTTACACGTAGGAGTATTTTTTTTCCTCTCATTTTGTTTTTGATTTTTGCCCGGTGGCAAGTTGATCCTGATCGTATGGCCTAGGGGGCCTATGGGCCGTGGATCACATGGTAATTGGGTGTCATTGTTTATTTGGGTAGTCTCACTTGGGGCATGGATAGTGTCTCTTTGTAAAGTGATTGAAGACTTCAAGTGCACGACAAGGACGAGCCTAGTTGACCCTGGAAATGGAGGGAGGATCGGTTTCGAAGAAGCTTCCTTGACAATTGTCATGCTCGTGATGGGCTCTATACATATGATCAGAGGAGACCTCTAGTTAAAAGTCTCTCTAACTAATTACTCCAAAAAAAAGTCTCTCTAACTTTGCTCATTGTGGGTTTATCAATGTCTAGGCAAATTAAAACCATCAATAATAACATGTTAACAGTACTTACCTTGTTGGATTTTACTAGCTTAGTGTACGCCAGGGATCCACACATTTTCCAGGTCTTCGTGGTCGGCATGAGAAAATCCGGCAAAAGCCAAGTAGAACAAGGCCAAAGGATGGGAAAAAGCCAGTGCAATCCTCCACTGTAGTTTTATTTGGAAAGTAGATGAATATGGATTTTTTTTATAAAAAACAAACTTTTATTTACATTTGAAAACAAACCCCAAAATAACTTATTTTACAAATAAACCATTTGTGGAGAAAACAACAGGCAAGGTCCCCTTATAACGTTGCATTTTTTCATTTTGGTCTTTTAAGACAATTGAGTCGAAAAATCCTATATAATTCAACCTAGGTTATAAGCGGCATCTACTACACAACGGTAATGGCAGAGGATTCACTTCCAAGGTGTACATCTATCTGGTTTGTCAAGCAAATCTTTAATTTCGTTGCTTGACATTGTCTTGCGAGGGATCAAGTTTCAGTTTTGGTTAAAAATATGGCACCACATTTTTTTTACTTGTTCTTAATCACTCTTCCCCTATGCGATTGTTACTTTTAACCATAGTTCTCTTTATATAGCGTGTATTACCCGTCAACAACGAGGCGTCTGTGGTGACTTTGTCAATCTCCAAGATTTACCGGTCCAGCCTTCAAAGATGCTCATAGGGGTAGGGTTTGTGTGCGTGCGTTCATAAGGGTGAGGGTGCGTGTGTGTTGTGAGTGTCTGCGTTGTATTGTGTAGTTCTAAAAAAAACGTAATTATAAAAAGACAGTGCAATTACGTAGTAAATATAGGTAATTTATTGTGTAAAAACGATTTGATAATATATTTTGAAAAATGTGGTATGATAAATATAGCTAGTTCCATTAAGTTTTAGTCCATGTTTAACATATATTTGTACCTCGTTCGTGTTTCCTTCATACGCATAGCAGTAACTTATGTTTTGCATTTTACAAAGCAGTTACGATGAGTAGGTCATTGTAGCTCATTTACATATGGAGGGTTGTGATTTTGTTAGTACCTTGACATTGACTCAAAGCGGCACATCTCGGCATCAAAGGTAGGTGGCAAAATGCATTCGTCAAGGACAAATAGACAAACATGCATTGATCGAATAGTGCCTTCAGAGCCGTGGACTTCTGCGTTATCAGTTCGTTGAGGTATCTCTTTGATTTGACATGAGAAATGGACCATGTGACAGCAAGAACGAAATGCATGGATGCAGTGTCCTAACTGGATAGCTTGCTCCTTTCAGAATTAAAAGCTGCTCACTTGCTAGCTCAGATAAGTGTCAAGACATAGTAACAGTGTCTTCAGACTCTGCTTTGGTTTGTTGCTCTAACTGAAGAATTATTGCTCACCAAACGGATAAGCATATGCACATGTATCAGCAACCGGCATTCGGTTGGACCAGTACTGACGCAGATTGCAAACATTGTTAACTCCTCGCGATGTCTAACTGTCTTGAAAACGTCCTTAGAAATACTTATACCGGTCAAGATCACGAGTGTATTCCAAATAATTAATTTCACCTACATCGATGACAGAGGTGTCAACTTAAACATCCATAGCTTCACAATCAAGACTTCAAATGTTTTGATGCACTAGAAAGCAAAATCAGTAACCTTTACTATGATCATATATCACACACGAATGGTGCAGCTGTTAGTGTAACACCACGTGTTGAGATTTGAGAAAGCAGGCCCAAATCAATGCATTATTGTAGCTCCATTTCACTATATCAAGTAATAATAGTAATTTATATATATCGTAGCAGCGAACATGTACCATTAGATTAAAATATGAAAGGCTCAGATTCATTGCAGTTCTTTAGTGTGCACTTGCAATATCGAAGTGCACCCTGATCTCAATCCATCACACATGCACACAGACTGTTCATGTCATCGCTGATGCTGAGTTGGTCGTGAAATCGGACGATTCCACGACGGCAAGTACAGACACACGTCGATTGCCGGCAACCGCAAGCAAGTGCAGTGCAGGGTGCAAGTGCAGCAGGGCCCTTGGAAACGAAGTCGGAGAGAGACCATCCGCCCATGCCATGTCCATGTCCGTGTGTGTGCGCTCGCTGCTGTTGTCTCTTTCTGAGCTGGTACTAGTAATAAAAACTAGCCCGAGGATTATTGCAAGAACAAAAGGTAAGCAGCATCTTGCAGAGCATACTATCACCCAAGCTCTTAAAGCTGTCGGGGAAAAGGGACCCTACGTTACTCAGATACATACGGATACGCGATACGTCGATACGGGGATACGACATTTTCCGGATACGACATTTTCCAAAAAAAACAAGGATACGGGGATACGTATATATATATATATATATATATTGAAAACACACAAAAAAAATTAAGGAAATTACATTAATATATATTAAAAATACAAAAAAAATAAGGAGCTTTTATAAAGAAAAAGCGATATAATACTAGTATTAGTGTAGCCGATTCCATATCAATATTTTGCAATTTTCTTTTCTATAAGCAATTCAAATTAACAAGCGATTAAGATCCCAAAAACTACATATTAATAGTTCAATCATATAACTCTTGATGACTTTGCATCAACATTAGCAGCCGCACTAACCAGTAACCACTAGAATTGCTAGATGCACTAGCACTTGTATCTAACAAAAACGATAGTACTTTGTCCTAAGAAAAACAAGAAAGGCCCAACAGATTCAAGCAAGAAATGTTCAAAGAGCATGGATTTACCCGGCCAGGCACTCAAGCAAACAATGAAAAAGCTCCTTGCTTTGATGTTGCCAGCGGCCAGCCTGCCACCGGCCTCCGCTATGCCCGGCAACGGTCGTGGCCTCCGAGGTTGGCGGCGAAGGAGATGCGCCACCGCCCAGCCGCGGCAGCTCTTCCGTCTCGCGGAGAGGACGTTGTGGCCCGCGCACGGCAACCAAGCGCGCTGCTGCAGCCGCGTCTCTGGTGGCATCGCCGGGCACGCACGAGAGACAGCCATCAGGATGGGAGCGTATGAGGCGGCGCATCCCTGATGCGAGCGAAGACGGAGGCACGTCGCGGCCGTATCGCTGGCATATCTCGATTTATTTTGTTTTTTTAAATCGCGAATATGTGGGATACGTACGGAATATGTATCGGAACATATCCGATATGTATCCGTATCCGTTGCCGTATCAGATACGGATACGTCGCTCTGTAGCCGTACCAGGATAACGTTGAGTTAGGGACCTACCTTCAGAAAATATATATTCATGGATGCTAGTACAATCCAGAGTAGTGACTTCAAAAGCTGAAGATCTGAGCTTTTTGTACCGCTAACAAACTCAGTTTTTTTTAAGGCTGTGTTTAGTTTCTGAGATTAGGGAGAAGTTTGGGGAAAGTTGGTAAATTAGAAAAAAAGTTGGGAGTTTATTTAAGTATGAAAGTTTTGAATGTGATGTGATGGAAAGTTGAGAGTTTGGGGGAAGTTTGGTGTGAACTAAATAGGGCCTAATTTGTTTTAGCATCCCGTGAAACATTTTTGCTATTTCTATAGGCCTTGTTTAGTTCCAAACTTTTTCTTCAAACTTTCAACTTTTCCATCACATCGTTCCAATTTCAACCAAACTTCTAATTTTGGCGTGAACCAAACTTCTCAATTTTCTGTGTAACTTTTGGTCTCGGTTATTGGATATCCTGATGCATCATGCATTGACTGTACATGTCATAGGTCTTCTATTCATTACTAGTACAATATACAGGTTTTTTTTGGGATAAACTTGGATGCTTTGTTCAGCATCTGCCTTTTCTGTCTTGACTCTTGGTACCGCTTGTGAACATGTCGACATGTTGTTCCTGCTGTTTTTTTTTCCTTTTCATTTTGAGGCATGCGTCACTAACTTATGTTCGAGTCCATTTTTCAGCATTATTAGCTTTTAAAACACCAATATACTATCATTAACCTATTATTATTATCATCATTTTTAATGTACTATCTCTTAGTTGCTATATATTTTTGCTATGGCATGTGGACCTTTTGGCTCTACAGTCTACACTATCTTTTTTCTTCTCATATTAGGATGTGTCCTAGGGCAAAATCTTATCTTAAGTTACAATATTTTGAGATGGAGAAGTAAATATTGGAGAGTTGAGGAGGGTGGTTAACATGTGGCTCTTTAGCCCCACATGTTCTTTTTCTCCTAAAGAATAAGTTGGAGATGGGATGGTGGCAGAACCATCACCACCACTACTATATTTTAAATGATTATAGGTTAATAATACATATACATAAAAGTTCATCAAAATATTGTAGGTCATTCACTTACTCCCCCATCCTAAAATATAAGCATTTTTGGAATTCGACACAATATTCGATATGATACTTTGACCAATAATAAGTATAAAAATAAGATGTTTTAAATAAAAAGAGTTGCATATTATGATAGTTTGTCTAATAATAAATCTAGTAACATCAATTTTACATGATTGATCTTTTTATTTGTTTTGCTATTAATAGTCAAAGTTAAAAATGGTTGACTTGACACTATATTAAAAATACTTACATTTTAGAACGGATAGAATATTTATCTTTCTAAATGCCGTAGGATCGCTGATGATTTAGCGCGCCACGTCAGCCGTTCTATTTGCACCCCCACCCCAACCCCCCCCCCCCCCCCCCCCCCCGGCGCACTTTCAGCTAAATTAAACATTGTTTCCCGCTATTGTTCACCGTCCGATCTCACACTAGATAAGAGCCAACCTAATAAAACGCCAAAACTAGCCATCTTCTTGGGAACACAAGACCCACGCACCAACAGGTAGCGGCAAATTTCATCCATTACATGCCAGACCAACCATATCTGTAGAAGATCAATTTCGAGCTATAACTAGTCGTGAAAGAAATGCAAGTATGGTCGAGTTAGGCAGGCAGATAGACATACGAACTACGCTTATAGATTTGAGATTTCCACGTAGCGACAGTATCAATGGCGGTTGATCTTTCCCAATCAATCGTTCACATATTTGTACCCAAAAAAAAAACCCCCCACTTGACCCATCTATCGCTTGCGCTTGTCGATACCGGCCGCTGAATATTCCACAAATCCGCCTTTTTTTCAAAAAATAATCAGTGTTAACACATATAAATTAAAGATCAAGGCGCTTAAGATGAGGATAAGTACCATGTATCGTCTGTGTTCTGCCCAGCAGCGTCGCCGTCACGTGTTATTCTTCTGATCATACGAGATCACGAGACGATGGACTTAATTAACTGTGTTTGTACGCTGCAGAGTTTAATTTGCTTAAAGCCTGGCCTCTGATTCTGCTTGTTTAATTAGTTCTCGTACTCAGATGTGCATACATTTCATTGCTAGTACTCCAATTCGGTCCTTTATCGAGGAACATTATTCGGTCCATTTCGAGAGAACAATTTCAACGCATGCCAAAGAAGGGTCTCGCGAATGTTCCAATCCATCGACCAGCGAACAAACAAAACCTTGACGAGACGACGATGTAGGTAGGAGCAGATAGCTCGCTAGGCTGTTCCCTTGTTCTCCTCCGTACACCGGCGGCCGGACGCTGCAAGTCAAAAGCCCTCCACTAACTATAACTAACATCTCGCCCCTTTTTTTTTGGGGCTAGAACTAGCTACTCCATGCGAGTCCTTGTTTGGATGGGTCGCTTGGAAATGCAGAAAATGCGACCGCATTTTGACACCCTTTTCCGCTCGGCAAAGGGTATCTGCCACGGTTGGCGCCGTTCACACACGAGAGAATCGCATGAGCCACCGTGATTTCGATCGATTTGCTCGCGCAGGGGGAGGAGAGGACAGCGACGGCCGGGGAGGTGGACGACGGCTTTAGCGATAGAGGCGATGGCATGTCGTCTCCGGGGGGGCCCTGCGAGCGCCGGCGACACGGGCTAGTGCGCGTGTGCGTCTGCAGGTTGACGATCGAGGCGGGCGGCAATGTAGTACAACTGTGCAAGCCTAGCTGACCGGCTATACTTGCGCTGTTGTACTAGTGTCGTTGCCGCGCGGGGACTGAAAGGTGATTTGACAATCTTGGTACCTGCAGGCGGCTGGTGGCAATCGCTGAAAGGAACATTTCTGACGAGGGGAATTATTGGTCACAACTCACACGTTAGAAACGGGAGTTGTTTACTGTAGATGGAGCCATGGAGGTAATGGTCATCATCTTTTGTACGCCTTCCAAATAATTTTAAGATAATTTAATAATATAGATTATTATGTACTCCATCCGTCCCAAAATATAAAAACCTATAACTGAATTCGTAATAATAGAAAATGTTCCATTCATTTTTAGCTTCTTATATTTTGGGACATAGAAAGTGATAGGTAACTTCAAATACATAGCCGTTTAATTTCAATCTAGAGAAGGTTTTTTAAAAATAAATTAAACTCTAGCTAATGCATAATACATGTACTATCATTTATAGTTATATATTTTTTAAAAGTTTGAAATATTAACCTTTGTGTTTGTGTAATGATATATCATATATTGATCCATGTTGTTAAAATAATTATAATTATTTTGATAAAATGTAAGAAACAAGGGCACATCACCTCAATGGAAAAAAATACTTTCTTGCTAGAAATGGCATTTATCAGCAGAGATGTTACGTTTTGGCGTTTTCCCAATTTTCTAGGTGAGTTTTTTCTTCCTTTTTAAAGTTCGTTTTTCTTATACACTACAGATAAAGTTTAAAAGTAAAACATACCCAAAGATTTTAATTCGTGTACTAGGAGAGAATTAAATCGCTTTGTCGATCTTGTAGTATTGTTTGCATTGCCACCAACCAACTGGTTCTAGAAATGTGCTACACTGCTACTGTACATATCTCCTCAAATGTGTTTCCTACAGCTGAACATTTTGACTTTGTAATCCTCTAGCAAAGGAGTCAGCTAAGCTAATTGAATACTACTAGCTAATAAAAAAACCTATTGGATAGAACTCCTCTCTTAATCTAATCATATCAAGCCCCCAAAAACAAAGTCGGCGACGGCCTGATGGGGAACCCAAATGCTTTCGATGTCAGCCAAGATAGAAAAATTCCACCAACGCGATCGCTCATCCAATTCTGTTTGTCTCAATCCTTGAAGTTTTGCAGCTGAGGCCAAGTCTACGTTTCAGTGCTTCGTTTCCACAAGTTTCCATGGCCAATAGAGTAGCATTCAGTCCATTTGTTTGCTGAAACGGCCGCGAGATAGTCAGTTTTGTCACATTTTCCAGCTGCAAGTCAATGCTACGCTCTTGTCGTTGTGATAGCACTCAGTGTATATATATAAGATCAGATACAATCATTAGAGACAGAATAATTCTAAAGAGGTGACGATTCACACTGTGATCATCGCTCTGGTCATATAACTCATACAGAGTATGGATGAAACTGAAACGTGATTGAAAGAAAAAAAAACAGTCACTTTAGAACAAGTGGTAATCTAAGTTTTAATCATTGAGTTGTGAGGTGATGGGGTCTTCAGTTACTAGCTAGTATACAAGTAGTAACTAGTTATGGTAATTGGAGGCTAGCAAAAGAGGACTTGGTGCCTATGACATACTTCAACAAGTGGTGAGATCTTCTTGATTTCATGGTTGAATAATTATCCTTGAGACCTTGACAAGATGGCCTGCTTGATGTTTTTTTTTGTTAGGAGGGGCCAGGTTGATGGTAGTCTTCCTTTCTCAATAATGGGATCAAATGTGTAATTAGTGTTTAACAGGACTCTGATAAGCTTTTGGAGGATGTCAAGTCTCAAATGAGTTTGAAAAAAAGATTCATGTGATTAAGAATACTAACAAGCCGTCTTACATTCATTATTGCCTCGGCCTGCTTTTCTCTGAACCTGATGCAGCCATGCAGCTACAACGCGTGAATGCTGTCACCGTGTACACTTCAAAATACAGTGCATCGCGTCATGTGGTCCTGTCATACAGTCATACTCCTATGCAAAATGAACAAAGTCACCAATTATCAAATCTTGGAAATCCTAGCAGAATACTAGTACTAGTACAGTACATTGAATAATCCCTCCGTGAAAAATGAGAAATGTAACAGTAGGTCAGCCTGAAGTACTGTATAATTTATTTTCGTTTTGCAAGCTGCAGTCCGTATTCCGTAAGAAGTAACAAAGCTCTTGGGCAGCAATTGCTAGCCAAGATTCTTGGGAAGATATAACTGCAGAATGCAAGTCCACTTGTGAAGTCATGAGGTTGCAGCAAAACCGAATGCGTTAGCTGACGGCAGTTCGATTAGCTGCTGGATG